GTATTTTGTTATTTGAATATTTATGAAAATTTATATATATATATATAATTGGATGTATGTGTTATATGTTTTTGATGTAAATTATTTTTTTTTATTTGGTCAAAAACAAATATAACAGTCTTATTATACAAATATAACAGCCTTATTCTATAAGAGAGAATGTGTGAGCCGTATGAAAGATTTGTTATATTCTACTATAGAAACACGCTTATCTCACTATTTGTCATTCGAAATGTTACTATGTTACTAAAGCGCATTTTCAAAACAATTTGACATTTTCTTTTTGTCACAATTAGTCGTGTACATGTCACATTTTGTTGTTGACATATAGTTTTATAAAAGTTGCTGCAAAATAAACATGAAATAAAATTGAGAAGATTTAAGTGTTATGATTATACCACTATAAATTAAGTGTTATAATTGTAAATATTTTAATAACGCTATTTTAATTAAACTTGTTTATTTCAAAATCAAACATTTTAAATTTTTGGCATCAAAACTAAAAATCGAGTTTCTTTTCTTCTTTTTTTGTACTCCACATATTTTGCGTCTATAGTAGAATACAAAAAAAAAAATTTCAAAGCCATAAATGTGACACGTCTATATGGTAGAATAAGGCTGATATAGTTATATTTTTACTATACTATCGAACAATTAATATATTTTTTTGTACAGTATTCGAATATAACACAAATAGAAAAACATAAAATATAATTGCTATGTTTAGTTATAAGTATAATGAAAATTTAACAAGAATATTCTATTCTACCAGAATTTTATGTACATATATAAACAGATATATACATGTATACAAATAATTGTAATTGGTTTTTAAAAGTATATAATAAATATCTCTATATATAGTATAATAATGATCACTACATAAATGTCATATCATATATTACTATAATATTTTTATCGTTGACATAAACGATAATTTTGACAATTTGCTTTAGTACATTATATGTGTACGTAATTCGCGAACTAGGGAGAAAAGATATCATAAAAGAAAAGATATTATATAACTCAAATACGAATATTTTTCATAAAAATTGTATAACAGTTTAACTTTTTTTTTTGTTTTATCCCTACTTCGCCTCTGGGAGGAGCATAGAGCTGGTGCACGATATTGTGCTGGTCATTTAGTTTACTAGGTAGGTGCCCCGTAGTTTTATTTTGCTAGTATTTTTTTATATTGGATATTAATGAAATATGGCAATTAGTTCATATGTATAATATGTATAATATAATGTTTATTAAGCTATATAATATTGAATAGAATTTTAATAGTGACCTGACTATAGTCAAAGTCAATAGTAAAAATTATATATTAATTAGTAGTGACCTTACTGACACTTTTTGTATTATAACATTTTGTAACATTTGAATTAAGGTTTAATGATATAACACATTCTATTTTTTTGAGTGGCAGTTATACATACAGCAATTATAACTGAATTTCCAATTAATATCGCAATATCGATAATTTTGGTCAATTGGGTTGTGAATGTCAAATGTCATACATAGATGAAACAGTATGTATAACCGTGTATAATTTGAAGATTTTATATAGTTTCTCAGCAATTAAACCCAAATATTTTTGGAAGCTGTGTTTATGTTATGGTTATGTAAGAAAATAATACCAGCTGCATATGGGAAGTTATAAGGAAAAAAGCCTGGGCAAGTAAAAATTTCGTGCGAATTCTTTAAAATCCCTGTACCACGGGAACAGTTGTGATTTGATACCTAGTGCTCAATAAAAACTTTATCCCTTTTTGATGCCCTAAATGATGGTATATATTACGTCACTGATTACTGAATCACCCTCTATGAAGAATTTCTAACAACTCTTTAAATTATAAGTATACGTAAGAGCTAAGTTAGAATCGCATTTTCAGAAATTGTTATACCATTTTACATTCCTCTATATTATTATATTATCAAATTCGATATTTCATTTTGCGCAGCCTACAATATATATGTTATATTAAATTAAAGGGGTTTTATATTGTCAAAAATTTCGTTTATTTATCTCGATTTTATGGCGTGTTTTTCCATTGTATATGACATTTTATAATTATATTAAACATGGATGTTATATGGTACCACATAAATAGCTAGAATAATTTAATTTACTAACATTTTAATGTTATACTATTTGTAAAATTCTTTTTAATAAAAATTAATAAAAAGTAAATAAAAATAACCAATATACAAATATATGCAATTTTTTTTGTAAGTATTTTATGTTTTTTTACTTTAAGAAGACGATTTTTATTACTCTTATAATTTTTACGTCTTCATTTGTATAAATTTTAAGTATTGTGTATAATAGAGGTTTTTTTTTGTGTATTTAAAATTAAATATAATATTAAATTATAATGAAATATTAAAGTGGACAAAATTAACTTTCGGAAATTCATAATTTTTTATTACAATCAACATCTCTCTTAGCTCATAATCATCGCTGTTGTAAACGATATTATTCTTTATTTTGACAATGAAATGCATACTATATATAACATTTATAGTACTTTATTTTTATTAAACAACTCCTAAACCAGAACGAAATTAAAATTCAATTAATAAGGTCGCCAGCTGTTACTAATATCTAGAGAAAATTGCAATGTTACGTCACCTAGAGATTTTTTTTTTAGATAACATGAGAAATTGAGGTGATATTCATGAGAAAAACCTTATTCAGAGGTTTTCAGATCATATTTAGTATTGTGCCTGTCTGACACATAGCACGGAGTTATACTTTAAATTTGAAAAAAGTAAAAAACTCAGTCGAAATTGATTTTAAGCTTCTGCATAACACGGAATCGGTTGAGCTATTTGAACATCGTTTCTTTACAAAAATTTTGCCTACTCATGAGGTTCTACACAATTACATTCAACATTGCACTCAGATACGAGACATCCTGTATAATATTTTCCTATATCAAATCTTTTCATATTTTATTTTATCATTAATAATTTAGTTAATTTTTAATTTTAGAATTAGATTTATTTATCATTTAATCTTTTGCTTATTCAAAAAAGACTGGAATTTTATGGAACAATTAAAAAATTTATATGTTGAATTATAAAACATCATTTAGTATCAAATCAAAATTTAATATTGTAATATTTTTTACAAAACATGATCTCTTATATGAAATATTCGGTTTAATCAAATTGAATAGGATGACATAAAAATGAAATATATTGTATATAATAGATTTTCCTCAACAGAACGCTGTTGGGTTTGTTGGGTCAAAGCAGTGGTTTTTAAAAGAAGTATTGTATTACATTGTATTTAAATTGTTCTAATTCACTAAGAAACGAATTGCATACTTTTAGGGAACAAACGAAAAATTTTAGTGTTGACGTAAATGATCAAATTTAAGGGTTAATTACGTTAGTTAAGATAAATACTTGTATATTTTTAATCGAAGGCAATTACCAGCACCTTTTTGTATTTCAAGAATTTTGGAAAAACTTATAGGAATAATTTAGAAATAATTTATTTATATATGAAATTTCACCTTTCTATTGTAAACAGATCCACAGACGGATAGACGAACGAACGGAAGAGAAGAGAGAAAATATTAGCACTTTTTTAAAATAGATATAAATATCATGTTTTGTAACAATACCACAAATAAATATATATGTATAATTATAAATTAACGGCATTGGAATGGCATTCTTATATTTATTTTTTTAAAAAATTAATTAAAAAAATATGTACATACTTATATATATATATATATATATAACAATTTAAATATATAAAAAACAGTAAAGAAATATAGAAATAAATAAACATTTATTAAACATTCCGCGCATAATTCAAATTTTATAATTAACATGATTAAATAGAAAATTAATAATAATGCTTATCTTACATAAAAAATAATAAGACAAGCAATATTAAAAACACGCAAATAAAATCAATGCACAAATTTATGAAAATTATTATAAAGTATGAAAATAAAATTAAAAAATTAAAAGAGAGAGAAAAAACACAATAAGAGCGATTTTCCGCGCAAAATATCAAAATTCATACACGTAGAATACACACAAAAATATATGAGTTTGACTGGCCCGTAATGGAGCGAAGTTACCTTCTACAGCAAAGGTTAAAATCATATTTTATCTCAAAAATGCTAAACAGTTAATTTTATAGTTCTGCTGTCTCTTTTTCTGAGGTTAACAAACGGAAATCATCTGCTATTACCGTTCACCGCTTTGGTTTTATTTTTACAATTTTAAGGATTTTGAGATTTTAAAGTTTTGTGAAAATACTCTTATTCTACAATACTTTCTAATATATATTCATTATACTTTTTATTAGCCAATGTGCCGTTTAGTTGTCAATATTAAATTATTTTTTGAAAAGTATACATTGTGAAGACAGAGAAAAACGAAAGAGCTTACAGCAAAAATCAATTGTACCTTGTCTTGCACAAATATTTTCCCTTTAAATTTAAAATTAAAAAATTTCTTCTCATTCATTTTTTCTCTCACTTTCTAAATTTTTCTCTCTTTTTTTTGTTTTTAAATAAAAGGCAATACTTTCATACATACATATATACTGATAATAATAATTAAATTCACTTTTTGAATGCAGAAACAGAAACAATAAAAAAAAAATTAATAATTTTAAATAAAATGAAAAATACCTTGACTTCAAAAATGTAGTAATACTGTTTTACTACACCAATTCATCAAATGCAAAATTCATAAGTTGAATTGTGTATTAATACCCATATTACGGTAGCTTTTGAAGTCAAGGAGACATTCTTCTTTTCCCAAAAAATCGGATCGTTTTTCTTTGTATAATTGATTAATTTAAATAAAATTCCATACTTATAGGCATACTTATAGGTATATGTAACAGCATTAATTATTATAAAAATAGTGTTTTGTAATAAAAGAAGCAATAAAAAAAAACCAAAAACAAAATAAAATTAAAAATAAAAAATAAAAAATTTTTCTTAAGAAAAACTCACCTGATATCGCTGTGAGCAACATCTGCCACAACATGATTGCAATAAACCAACTGTTGAATTTGTTGAATGAGCTGGTGATGCCATTGGTGATGGTGAACCAGGTCGTTTCGGTTGACCATTATAAGGAATTTCTAATTCTACAAATTCACGATCCTAAAAAAAAAAAAAATAATAATAAATTTTATGTGTATATTAACAGGTTTGGATCATATTAAATATAGAATCAATGTCTTACAGAAAATAAAATCAAAAATGTTTGAAAAGAAATTTTCTTACAATAAATGTGTTAACAGTAATAAAAATTGAGTCAAACTAATGGCCTGTAAAAGAAGCACTTTTTCTTTTAACAAGTGAAAATGCTGTTTTAAAAAAAAAGCTATTATATTATTTGAATTATTTTTATTTATATACAAAAATATTGCCTAATTTTAAAAATGAGTCAAAAGGTCATACACCAAAAATACATAAATTACGCTTATGGATAAGAGAGAAAAATTGAAAGAGACTCATTTTGTAATGTGATAACAGACATAAGTGTCTTGACAGTAAATGTCGTAACAGTAACTGCCATGACAGTAATTGTCATAACTGTAATTGCCTAATTATGAGAATGTCTTGACAGTATATCAGAATGTCTTCACAGTCGATTTGTATGTCGTTGTTTCCCGTCTTGTACTAAAACGTTTTGACAATAAATGGCTGATCAAACTTTGCAACAACTCTTATACTTATTTTCAAATACACGATGGTAGTATAAGACACAAAAATTTTTTGTAAATTTAATTAATTTAAAAACACTCAAATATTAATTTTATTCTACTTGCTTTATAAGAATAGAAATGGAAAAAGGATATATTAATACTATTCGTAGTTACCGTCCGCATACTATTAATTCTGACACTAAACTATTTAAATATTACAAGATTTTGTGTATACTAATATAAGATTTTGTGTAACTCTACAATAATTAACACTTACCGTAGTTTTTTCTAAACATCTTAATAAATGATGATGTTGCAACTCGAAAATATCTTCTTCTCTGTAACTATCATCTAATTCGATACCAGATTCTTGTGCTGCTAATCTAGCTTCAGCTGCTTTTTTCTTACTAGCGAATGCAGCTCCGGAAGATGCTTTTGCAATACGAATCCTAGCCAATCTTGCTTTCTATATATACAAACATCAAAATAAACAGTTTTTAATTAAACGCCATAAAGTAACATCGCAATATTTAAAAAAACACTTACTCTTTGTGCTTTACGCTTATCAGCCCTTTGATTTTGATGATAAATTCTACTAAAGTTTGATACAATAACCGGTACTGGTAAAGCAATAACAAGCACACCACTTAAAGAGCATACGCCACCAACTATTTTGCCAGCTATTGTTTCTGGTACCATATCACCATAGCTTTAAAAAAAAAAAAGCAAAAATCAATAATCAACAATTGGTTTTCCTTGCAAAATTATAGAAGTACATGTAGCCCGGTGGAATATTAAAAATTAAAAAAAAAATTAACTTACCCCAGTGTAGTCATTGTTACAATTGTATACCAAAATGCAGCTGGTATTGATGTAAAATTAGTACCGTTAACATTTTTTTCAGCATAGAACATAACTGTTGCAAATATAATAATTGCCATTGCTAATGAAAATACTAAAAAACCCAATTCGGAAGCACACGATTTCAGTGTATAACCCAAAATTCTTAAACCTTGTGAATGTCTTGAAAATTTAAATATACGAAATACGCGAAATACTCTTAATGTTACAAATGCTCCCGATACATCATCATTATCAGTTAAACCTAAACCAATATAATATGGTAATATTGCTACAACATCAATAATGCTCATAACACTTCTAACAAATTTACAACGATCTGGTGCAGCAAATAAACGTAATAAATATTCAGCAGTAAATATCATAACACATGCAGTATCTAAACAAAAAAATACAATTTTATAACGTTCACCACATGGTAATGTACCAGCACGTGCTGGTCTTGTACCACATGGTACTGTTTCAACAACATTTGCCATTACTGATACAGCTATAAAAAATCCAGTTACGTAATAAAATACTAATGCTGCTGTTGATGTATGTGGATTTTCAAATGCACGCCACATTTTTTGTCTAATATTTGTTAATTCTTTTAAATTTTGATCACCATTTTCTGATAATTTATCATCCATAAGACGCTCAGCATTTTCACGTTTACGATCACGATAATCTTCATAACAACAATCACCGATAACATCAGGCATAATACCAAAAAATGCTAATTCTTCATCATAACTTGTTAAACATTCATGTTTTGGATAATGTAATTTACCAGTACGATAATAATTTAATATGTGACGGAATATATCTGGATCACGATCAAAAAAATATTCTTTACAATCTTCATCATAAAAAAATTCTCTTTCATTTGAACCCAATAATGTATCTGGATATTTTTCTAATGTGTTACGCCATGTTTCAAAACGTCTACCAGATACATTTATTAATAATTTTTCATCATCTGTTTTACGACGATCTTTTGGTATTGGTGGTGGTGGTAATGGATGTGTTGCTATCGGTACCCAACCAATGGCCGCCGCCCGTGCAAATGGCAGCCAAGCGGCGACCGAGGCCATACTATGTGGTGGAATGTTTTTTTTTTACCACACAAAACAAACAAAAAAAAATAAATTTAGATTAAAAATTAAATTAACTGTTTTGTTATACGCACACTAAGTTAGAGTTTAGTTTTTTAAATTATTTTTTCACTTTCTATAAAATATTCAAAAATTTTTGAAAATGGAAACTCGTAATAAATTCTGTTGTTTTGTTGTAATTCTGATTTACTTTAGTTTCTTGTCTATACCCATTGGAGTCCCTTTTTTGTTTAAATTTTGTAATTATAACACTTTTTCTTCTTATTGAATAAATTGTGATTTGAAGTTGTAGGAACAATAATTGATTATTTTTGGTTTTCATACACACATTTTTTAATATTCTATTATGTTTTTAAACTGACAATTATGATGACATTAATGTTTATTATTTCTGTATATTATTTTTGTATAACAGTTTAGTAAAATTTTTTTTAAATGATATTTGTTTTCCAAACTCATTTATTTATTATTGTAACCGTATATATAATTTTGCATATGAATACAGGACTTTACAAATTGTATTGCTATACAAATTAATCAATTATATAATTCAAATAGTTTTCATCCCTTTTATCCTTTCATCCTTTGTAAATGTATGTATGATGGGCACATATATATACATATATTTGTTGTTTTTCAAATTTCATTCCATATTTTAATGTCTAACATTTGCTTAGTTGTAACAATTAATTTAATATATAAGTTAAATTTCAATATATATTATAACAAAAACTGTTATACTATATAAAATTAATTTCATATATCTCATATTTTTGTATATTTTCACTCATATTTATATACAATCTATATTGTATAACTACTATATGTTTATATTAATATTTATGTTAACATCTTCAAGATGGAAGAAAAGAAACTCTTGTCAAATTTATAACAGAATTCAACAACCTAAAAATGAAAGAAAAATAAGAGGAACATAGAAAGAAATATTAACGTAAAATAAGTATATAATAATAATTTAATTAATTTATTGGAAAGTATATAGACGCATTTTAGGGTTTTTATGTTTGAAAACAATTTTTCAATGGAGTTCTTTTCTTTTTACATATACTGTAGGTACATATAACATTCGAAATGTCTACTGGAGTATTGTTGAAATATGTAAATACATCTACGAAAATATTCAATATTCAATTTGGATAAAAAAAAATTGCATGTGGTACAAATTAAATGATTACAAGGTATTAAATAAGACTTCTAGTTATAGTAAACTGGAGTATCGTTATAGGTATACGTAACTGGAGTATAGTTATAGGTATTTTGTATTACAAATGTCCTCGTATCCTAGTGAGGAGTATAGGGCTAGTGCATGGTATCATAGATAGTCATGCCCTAGCTTCATTGAGTCATGGAGTTTTAACTAAATAGGTGACTAGTCTGCCGTAGTTTTTTCCTTTATATTAAGTATTTAAGATTATTAATATTTATTGATTAGCTTAATAATATAATAGTTATGCTCATTAATGTTCGTATAATGTAAAATGTAAATTTAAATTTATTGATTTACGAAGTCCGGTTTATTTTTCCAATAATAATATTGGCGTTATATCGAAATTAATTGCAATTCCAATAGTAAGCCTTATAAATTTAAGGTCGTTTTTGTTTAACATATGTATAGCTATAGGGTTTTCGTATATTAAAGGTTTCATGGATGAATTTCTTTGATCAATTTCTAAAATAAAAATCATATGTGTGGGGAAAAATTATAAACATGTTTTTGAGTTACAAGCCTGTTAAACAAATATCGGTCCCAGATTTTTATCCCTTCATATAAATAAAAATATTAATAAATTCGGAGTACGTATACCATAAAGTAAGCATTAGAGACACTATTGTTTTAACGAAAATTGATAAATCTTTATTTTTATTCTAACAATTAATTGACTATTTATTCTTTATTCAATCTGACTATTTAGTTTCCGAAAAGTGAGAATTTTGGATTTTTTTTTTTCGAAAATTTTTTTTTGTTCTTTTAAAACATGAAATTTGCACGTCCTCACCCATATGATTTTTTGCTAGAAATTGATTAAAGAATCATTGCTGAAATTATTCGCAACCTTATACTATATACCCTGTATACAAAAACAATAATTTAAAGAGCTATATACTTGTATACTAGCTCCTATATAAGTAGCTAAAATTATTATAATATATGGTATGTATATATATATGGGTGATATAAAAATTATAATATAATTAGAAACCCCTAGTATGAATCGCATTAATTTCATATAATTTTGAAAAAATTAAAACAAAATTAACACATTGAGCGTCATGACTATAAAAAATACTTACGTTGAGTTCTATCGTGTAACCCATGAGCAAATCTAAAAGGCTTTGTAGAGTTCGTGTTCACCTGTGAACGACTTATTTTAAGTCCCTGTATCACAAGGGATTTTAAATTTATTAACTTATATATTTTAACGTATATAGGTTTTTTTATGTTGACCATTTTTGTCATTTCAGATTTGCTCACCGGTATTACATTGAGACTCAACGTGTCAAAATATGAATATATGTACATTAGTAATTCATTTAATGAAGAAACGAAAATTAAAACTTAGATAAGGTAAGCTGTTGACTCGCAAAATATAAAAAATTACATCCATGTACCCTCAGTTCTCATTGTTGATTAATCAATAAGTAATGATTTGAAATGAGCTTGAACTTAAATTTTGTTGGTTAAATTCTCTATCACCTGTACAGTGTTCATGAATCACATATTTAGTGTGCTCTGTAAGAAATAAATTCATATTGAAATGCAGCTAAACATACAAATGTCATATACATATTAGGTTCTATATAAAGTTCACGTATTAACTAACATATTATGTTTTATTTTTTTTGCAAGCATTGTGTTGAATGATATCAAAAAAAAAAAATCTGATATGCTCAACATATAACCGACCGCAAGACATTGTCCTGTTTAGCTAAAATATTGCATAATGCCTTTTAAATGCTTCCCACAAATTTTAGGGAGTCTAGTACGATTCCAGTTAACATACCTAGAAAAATGTAAATTTAGCTCTTATCAGAGGCTCTCTTTATGCTTACCAAATTCACTGAAAAGTTTGCTAGTTAGTTTTGGTAGTAAACAGTATCCAGATATTGCGTTCATTCTATTAAATGGAAGGGCTCTGTATGTGTTCTAGAGTATTATAACATTTGCGTGTCCATCATCTGTTAGCAAAGTATTGTTTTCAGATTAAAATGTTGTTTTCTAACAAGTGTTCTGTTTTATTTACTTTATATTTACATTATGTCGGATGTGTGGATCACGCCGGCTGTAAACGAATTGAACCTTAATTATTATATACATAAGTACAAACATATGTATAAATATTTTTTTTTCTTATTAAAACATAATATAAATGAATGTAATTAACGTAAAACTTTTTTGGCTACTTAAGTTTATCAGTAAAATCAAACAGAAACAAAACTCTTTTTTGGATCATATGTGTTATTATGATTTATGGTGCTCTTTGGCGATTTTATTCATTTGGCCGAAAAATGTATTAAAGATTAAATTATACATAAAAATTGTATGTTATCTGTTCTGCTGCGTAACAGGCTTATTACTCTTATCACAAAACAAATATAACACGGAAAATAAAAAAAGTTCTGCAACAAATCTGTGCACAATTTATGATAATATGATATACATACATACCTAAAATGTTGGGAGAATTCAGAATAAAAATTTTTTTGTTTTCGTTTTCTTTTTCTATGTTATTCTTCCGAAGATTAAGAATATAAGCGAAAATACACGATGGTTGCGCCATCGAATTTGACTTTTATAATATAATATAGATATACAAATTACTTTTATGTTATATACAAATTATTTTCCTTATATTACACATTTCCTTATACTTACACTATTTATATATATATATAAATATTTACCAAAATATTATTAATTTTTTTTTAAAAAAACATTCTTTAAGCAAGTGTATGTCAAATGTCCAATATTCTTGAGGCTTCAACACTCCTCCTTTTTCTTCTTCTTCTTCTTCTTCTGCTTGTGTATATTTATTCTTCTCTATATATATATATATGTATATATCTATATATATGTATATATATATATGCGATATAAATTCGAGATTTTTTTTGTATGAATTTTATTTTTTTTGCAGGAAAAAATAATCTTGAATTAATGTTGATTTTGTTTTTTTTTTTTCAAAACTCTGGTAGTCCTTGTTGAAAAAATTGGTTATTAATGATGGTTATAATTTGGATTAAGGTAGGTATATATGTGAAATTTTTAAGTATTTTATCTATATATATATATATATATATGCAATTATTTTTGTTTTTCACAACAACTGGAATTTTTTTTTAAGTTCAATTATTGTAATTTTAAATTTTGCCTTCTTATTATATTTTTATTTTATCCAATTACTTCTTTATTTTCCTTTTTTTTACATCGAAATTAAATTTTTGGTTTGAAAAATTAAAAATTTTATTTTATTTGACTTAACTTATTATGTATATAGTAGTAGTTGGCATATGAAAGGGATAAAATTTTTGTATTTCTTTTTTTTTTTTATTATGATGTTATTCTGATTTTTTGTGCATATAAATCTCCCATCCCTTCCCTTTCAAATATATATTGTAGTTTATATACAGTAATGTATTGTGAACCAAAACCAAGGGTGGGCATATAATATAAAAAAACAACAAGTGAAAAAAAATGAAAATATTCTTTTTTCGAGTTTTTCTCAATAATACTTTTGATTTTCTGGAATTTCTTCTTTATAATTTCCTTTTTCTTTAATTCCTCCTCATTATAGCACATAAATATTGTTATTTAAAATTGTTTTTCAGAGGTAGGCAATAATAGAACACTATATTAATAAAAAAATCATATATAGGAATAATTTTTTAAATATACACTATAAACGATGATTAAATGTTACAATATTAATCATACACAACATTCAAAAGAACCGAAAAAAAAAACCAAAAAAAAAAAACACACAAAACGTGTTTTTTTTTTAAATGAAAATTTTTGAACACAAAATTTTTTCTTTTATTTGGAAATTTTCTTATTTTTCTAAAATTTTATTTTTTCCCCGTCCGATTTCTGCTTTCTTATGTTTTATTTTTTTTTTCCTTCTTAATACGCGAGAAAAATCCCACCATCGAGACTACAACCACCACTACGACAACGACAACGACTACCACTACTATCAAAATACAAATTAAATAAATGAACACGGTACAAAAGAAAGAAAGAAAAAGTAAGCAAAAAAAAAAAATGAAAAAACAAGCAAATAAACACAGTGTTACCATAGTAGTTTGAAAAAGAAATTTGAAAATTCTGACTAGAAAAAAAAAAAAAAAGAAAATTTTCAAAATTTAGCTGAAAAAAGAATTTGAATTTTACTTATTGCTAAATTATGGAAAATCGTCAATTCATTTGGAAATTCATTTTGTAAATATAAAGAAATTTTTTCAAAATTTCAATGTATATCCATAATAAAACTAAATAGTATTTGGTAACACATTCATAACACTCAAAATCAACAAAAAGGAAAAAAAGAAAAATTGACAACTGAATCGATTTAAGAAATTTCCCTAGGAAAAATCAAGGAAAATTTTAGTTTAATTGGTAATAAGAAGAAAAAAAAATCCCAATAAACAAAAAATATTCACAAATTGGTACAATAATTATTGTGAATGAAAAATTTTTATTTTATTTTATTTGATTTAACTTACTTGGGTATAAGATTTTAAAAAAGAAAATATCTTGAAAATATGCGTTGTAATGTTATTAATACATTTATGTACATATTCAATTGAACTAAATAAATATCCAGCCCTATCATATATTGTATTTGTCGCCGTGTAGTCTAGGGAAAATTATATGATTATCATAATGTACAATTCCGAATTACTAAAATACTCTGTCCCGAATATTCGTAAATTGACAGCCCTATCATGAATTCCGTTTGTAACACTAGAAATCGGAAAATTACGAATTTCATTTTATATAATTCCGAATTACTAAAATACTCTGTTCCGAATATTCGTAAATTGACAGCCCCATTATGAATTCCGTTTGTAACACTAGAAATCGGAAAATTACGAATTTCATTTTGTACAATTCCGAATTATTAAAATGCCCTGTTCCGAATATTCGTAAATTGACAGCCCTATCATGAATTCTGTTTGTAGCACTAGAAATCGGAAAATTGCGAATTTCATTTTGTACAATTCCGAATTATTAAAATGCTCTGTTTTGAATATTCGTAAATTGACAGCCCTATCATGAATTCTGTTTGTAGCACTAGAAATCGGAAAATTGCGAATTTCATTTTGTACAATTCCGAATTATTAAAATGCTCTGTTTTGAATATTCATACATTATACGTTCGTAATAAAAATAAATTTTAAAATTCTATTCGAAAAAAATAATTACTCACGTAACAAAAGCAATTTAAAGAAATATCCTTTTAATAAAAATATAGATTTTGGTACTCCGAAAAGTGGAGGTGCTGCAATTGCTGATTTTTAATATCTATCAGTGGAATTTTGTGATCATTCAAAAGAATTTACGTCGTAGCTCGTAATTCGTACAGGATTCTATATCCGAGTGGAATTCATGATAGGGCTGCTGTAGGTTCGCAACATTTTGTTTTATGAACGAACATATGTATCACAGTTTTAAATTGCCATATATCGCGGTATATTATGCGTTTATGAAGAGAAAAATACAAAAATACAATCACAAAACTTCAGTCCTTACTTGGTTTAATTTTTTTTTTTTTTTACTTCAATAAAAACAGTTTTAATAATTACAAAATATATTCGTATAAGAAGAGAAAAATTAATTCTGTAATAAAATTTAGCAAATTAATTACAAAATATATATATATATGCTATGTATATTATACTATATATATATGTATATATATATATATAATTATTATAATTACATATATTTATAAATACATTTATCTCTTTTTTTTATTTTTTTATTTTCAATTTATACAAAATAAGATTCGGCTTTTCTTTTTTCTTTTCAGATCAATAACAAATATTTATATACAAATATGTATGTATATGTAAATGTTTCGGCAATGTTGAAAAAGTATAATATATAATATAATAAATGTTAGTGTTTTGTTTGGTTAGTCCTTTTTGCGCTTGAGATTAATTCTTGCCTCTTATAAATTAGTCCTTGTGCCGATGGTGATGATGATTTACGATTTTGTTGTTGTTGTGACGATTGTTGATTATTCGAATTTAATGGTGATAATCGTTTCCCAGTTGATTGATTTATAGAACTACCAGATTTTGTTGATGATTGTAAATTTCCTATTTCAGCTGATTCTTTTCCAATTTCTGTTATTCCACTTACTGCTACTCCTCCTCCTCCACCTCTTCCAATTGATGATGAAGAAGATGATGATGCTAATAAATTTGATGATCCTATTTGAATATTATCATATTGTTCATTTCGTTTACTATTTTTATTATTGCTGTTATCATTTACTTTTTGACTTTGTGTTAAAATTCTTTCGAAATCAGCTGTTTTTGAACGTAATACCGCACCACCAATATTTGTAATACTTGGTGTTATTTTCGGTTCTAAATTTGATTTTAAATTAATTCCTTGTTGTTGTTCTTGTTGTTGCTGTTGCAATTGATGTAATTCGGAATTTAATTTATCTTGATTTAATTTTATTGCTGATTTATTTAAATTTTGTTGCAGTTGTTGCTGTACATTAGGAATACTTGCATCAATATTTGTTGATGTACCAACACCATCACCACTATGTATAAGAAAAAATTATATTTGATTAATTATTGCGATCACAATAATTATTATACAATAATATTAGTAAAATGAGTTACGAAGCTGTTACGTTAGAGCTACATACTAAAATCACGCTGCATCACATACACAACATTTTCGTTCCCAGAATATAAAGCTCTCATAAAAAACTGCGCGTGTACAACAGTCATTGAATTACACAAAAACATTGTTTCAGGAAAACTGTCTACTTTTCGTCTTTTGCAGCAGACAGAAGTAAACAAAGGTATCAAGTTGCAATTGTTTTCTCAGGGTAGATTGCTGACAAGAATTTTAACTTATAGAAAATATTTTTGTCTACTATACCAGTTTTAATTTGTGTGTTAATTTTATTAGTTTATTTGTCAATTCAAAAAATCCTACATCGCAATTACAATCGAGAATATCTCGAACACACCCTATTTATTAGTAGATTTACGAATCTATTAATATGATTACAAATCTAGATTTTTTTAAGTAGATTTACGAAATTGCGATAGAAATTGTTCCTTAAAGAAAAAATATCATAATTTTTGCGGTACCTACCTTGATGTTAAACCTTTATAATTGCTATTATCACCACTTTCTATCATAAAAGGATCGGGAAATTTGTATACATTTAATAATGAATCACAAGATGATTTCCGTGTTATATTTGTTGGTGTTTTTGGATTATTACTGAATGATAATGAGCCAGTTACCGTTGTTTCTGATTGTTGCTCTCCTGAAAATATGCAAAAAAAAGAAGTAGAGAAAACAAGAACGTAAGTACAAAAAGGAAAAACTGAATAAATTTTTCAAATCACAAAATCGGAATTAATTAAAAATTTTATTTTAATGGCCTTACAAACTAATTTTCGAAGGTTTAAGTTGAAATTAGTAGAAAATGTAATAATGGCAAACTATTTTTTTTCTTTGTTGTATTTTTTATTATTACCTGGCCAAAAATCGTTATCGTGGCTATAATTTGTAACATCTTCAATATATGGTATATCAGAGAAATCGATATATGTTGCATATCTATCATTTTCAGTATCACTTGATGGACTACATACAGATGAACTACCACCGCCACTATTCGAACCAAGTGTATCTTGAAATGTACCCTGTTGTTGCATTTGTAATGGTATTTTAAGACTTGCTGTAACAACTCCCGTACTTTGTAGTATAAAAGGTGATGATAATTTTCTTGTTCTAGAATCAATTTGCTGTCCACCTGTAGGTAAATGTTTCTTTTGTGTTAAATTAAATGATATTTGTTGCTGATGTTGTTGATGTGGATATTGTTGTTGCTGCTGCATTTGCTGATTTTGTTGAGAACCGTATGAACTTTTATTCATTTCTGATGTTGAAAATCCATCCACTGCATTATCATCAATATTTGAATTACGTAATGTAGTCATATTTGAATTATTATTTGTTGATCTTAAACGACGTCGTCGTTGTAATTCACTTTCATTCTCAACGTATTTCATTCTTGATGTTCTTTCTCGTCTAAATATATAAATGAAATAATTTAAGTGAACATCAATTTTCCAATATAAAGAATAGAAAAAAATTTAACCTTTTCAATCCGTTTTCTATTTCAATTCCCATGCTATGTGGATCATTCGCTGTTGCAGCTCTTTCATGCATAACATCCTCACGTGAATACACACGCTTTGGGACTGATGATGACATTTGGCTTACTGATGATGTTTTTGATGTACTATTCGGTATAAAGTCACGAAATATTTGATTTTGTTGATCTGAATTCAGTCCCATTACAGGAGGAGGTGAACTAATTGGTGTACTGGAACTTGCACTATCCAATTCATCACTAGTACATATTAGGAATTAATGGAAAAAAAATTATTAAAAAAAGTTTAATTTTATTAATTTTATTCTGAGCTGTAATTTGTCGGGAAAAGCTATATATTTTTCAAATTGAAGATAGGAAAAAATTCTATAAAAAGTCGATATTAAGGTAGTGTCAGAACGACATTTTAACACTTTTCCAAAAAAAAATTGTGAAAAAAAGTTTTTATTAGTTTCACTCTGTTCGTCCTCCTAAAACCTGTTTTTTTTTTTATTTTTGGTATGGTTTTTCCTCTAGCTCTAGAAAGTTTCGAAATTGAAAAAGTTTGAATATTCGGCACCTTATATTTCCGAAACTACAAACTTTTCTAATGCACAAATGCACAAATTAGTTTTTCTAACTCACGCAATTAACTCTTGAATTTGAGCATTACGTTAACGTCACCATTAATTTAAGTTTTTTTTATCGCCCCTAAATGTATGCAATATTTTTTATACTTGAATAAAAATAATTTAAATAATGTAATAGATTGAACAAATGAAATACTGCTTTTAAGGAGCAGCAGTTTTTATTGTTGAACAGAAAACTGCTGGCTTACATTGGCTTGTCTCAGTTTTTTTATTTAGAACGACAATATATGGCTTAAAAGTGGCATTTTAATTTTGTTTTGCTTTCTACAAGTTGGATAAATTCTATGTTTAGATTATATAAATACATTAAGATTGTTACATTGCATATGTACCTCAGACGGAAACCTCGCCTCTCAAATAAATAATCAAGTTGCTGAGGAAATGCATCCAACATATATGTATAAATTTCATCCATTAATTCAGAAGGAACCCTAAATAGTTCTTCATAATGATCAATCATTGTTCTAAAAAAAAAAAAAAAAACATATTTTTTTTTAAAAATGTGAAACAAAAAAAGTAGTTTTTTTTTTAATTGCACCTTATCACATTTATTACATCGATTTGTTCATCTAAATCTTGTTCAGTTGTTGTATTTGTATCAAAATTTGATGTTGATCTCAAAATATTTGGTGCAAAAACAGTTGCTAAATTACTACTGTCCATTTTATTACCTTGTGATAATACTGTGCCGTCAATTGATGTAACATCATCGGAACATCTTACTACTTTTGCTAAAAATTTTAATAAAAAATACAAGGTGTCACGATGTGCAACTGGTAAAAGTTGTACTAAATGAGACAATGCTTCTAATTGTAAACGTCGATTGCGAATTTCTATAAAACAATAAAAACAAGAAAACTAATCAATATTAATATTTTATAATTAATATTTTTATAAAAAATTAGTTATAATAAACAGATTTTTCACGTGGGGCGGAGCAAGTGTAACGAAGCTGAACGAAACATCAGAAATTGGCATTGTAGATTCAGATAGATTCCTAGAAAGATAGAAAGAACCGGGTGGCCTAGATAGGCCACCTGAAATCGCACGCTCAATGACGGCAATGGTGGTAGGAAAATGGCACATTTGTGCTAATTAGGGTGCAATATATCGTTCTATATTATACATATAAAATTTTATTAATTTAATTTTATGAAAATTTACTAAAAGATTTAAAATTAAAAAAAAAATTACTTTGTGTTTTAACAAACGCTTTGTATAAACTTCGACATAGCAATGGTTCTGGCAAATCTCTAAAATATTCCTTTAATATTGTTGCAACATCATGTGGGCATGTTTCTGGATCTAGTGAGCTAATTTCACCTTGATCAAATTCTTCTCTTAACTGTTTTTTTTTTTTAATTAATTAAAATAAGAAAAATAAAATTTATAATAATACGAGTATATAATTATCGTTTAATATTAAGTATATACCTGCCGAACACGTTTTTTCGATGTACTAACACGAAATATTCCTATTATATGTAATCCATGCTCTTCTAAATGCTTAAAACATGCAGTAACTAAAGCTGGAACTTTATATGTATTACATTTTGTAATACAAGGTTGATTTGTTCTTAATAAATTATTTCCGATACCACTTTCACTAGTACCACTATCTAATTCATCGTCACCTTGACTAGTTCGTCTAACATCTGATTGACTACGAGATATTTTTGATGTTGCAGTTTTTATTAAATTATTACCAATAATTGCTGCGGCTGTTGCTGCTGCTGATGATGATGATGCTGATGAACCTATAACAATTTTTAATATAAAAATCATCTTGTTATTGCTATACCAATGTTTTTTTTTCAAATATATACACCTGTAGTTATATTTTTTGATCCTTTCATTGATAAATTTTCACAAGATCCAGCCTATGGTTTTAAATTATTAAAATTTAATTAATTTAAAAAATTTAATACAAATATAAGTATATGTGATTGATAATTAAAATTATAAACTTAACCATTTTTCCATTTATGTGAGTTGATGAGTTATGGGTTGTACCTAATAAAGATGCAATTGAATTTCTTGAACCTCGATCAGATTTATGTGAAATACTACTACTAGTGCCTTCGCTTAATAAACTACCAGAATCTTTTCTTAATTTTTGATCTTTTTCAACACATTTTTCCAATGAAATACCAAAAACTCCCGTAGAATTTGTGTTCACTGCTAAAATATATAATAAAATAATTTGTCAATTACTAAGAAATACTGAATAATACTAAAAATATTAATTTATCCGGAATAATCCGCACAAAGTACTAAAAAATACTGTATATACACTAAAAATGGGAATTAATCCGGAAATTAAAAGACCATTTTATGTACACTTACTTTTTGAATCTTGTTTATTTTTCCCACTATCAAAAAAACTTGTCGTTATAGCTTTCCTTTTCATAAGCAATGGCCGCCTTTTGCTTTTTACCGGAGGAGCAGTTGTATTATCTATTAGAAATATATAAATATATCAACATAATATTTTTGAATTGTTGAAGTAATTATTTGATGTATTGAATACACAGAGATAGAAACAGACAAAATTTTCAGTAAATTGCAAGAGCTTATTATTAAAACTTTAAATTGAATGTGAAATTAAATATTTTATTTGTTGATTCGATGAATAAGAATTGAGGAAAATTTAATTTTATACAGAAGACATGCAATGTTTAAAATTGCGATTTACCTATTAAATGTAATAAAGCTAAAATTAATGCCAAAGGCGGTAAAACTGTACAACGTGCTTTTCTAACGAAAAAAATCTAAAGGTGTTCTGCAAAAAGTATAATATGCGGTCTCGCCAACGTTAATCTCGTTTAGTATAGTTTTGTACGCTTATGAATACGATTTTAATAAAAATATTTTTGTTAAACCAAAATGAAATTTTGATCAATTCTAGTTTGTCAAATCACACAGAAAAAAAACATTTATCGATCTACAACAATTTTTGGTTGTAAAGTTACTCAAAGCGAAGTAAATAAAATGAAATGAAAAAAAAATGTTATTGTCTGTCTCTCCGTATGGCTCAGATCAAATTTGAACTTACGTCAATTTGACGTTGAAAACTGTATAAAAAGTCAAGATTAAAGAGTGTGAGATTGTTATACATTCGGTTTTTAAACAAAAATTTAATAAAGGGAAGAGATAGTGCATGTTGAAGTCATTCTGTATATTCAACACACAAATTTGATTATTTAGCAAAATATTTTAATATTATACAAAAATTTACCTGGTGGTGCTGTTACAGTAACACCAATATTTAATTGATTAATTTTTTCTATTGCAACTTTATGTAAAACTTTACGTTCAATCTCAAATAAATCATCTAATTTTGTATCAGTTAATGTTAAACATTTACCACTAGATGACGCCCATACACCATTACCCTTTTTTCGAGAAAGTAAAGAAACAAAAGTATATGTATATAGATTAAATTGTTAAGATTTCTTGTTCTACAATTCCTTGTTGTATATAAATATAATAAACTAATATTGTAAATATGCATAAATAAATTTACTTGCGGCGTCCATGTTGGTTTTGCTATATTACTTAATGATGTTGTACGTGTTTGACTTTTTGAACGTGATTTCCATATTTTTGTTGAGACAAATTGGCCAACATTTGATGATGATTTTGATTTTTGCATTGTTAGCTGATCTTTGGAATGGTATTTTGGTGAATCTATATTGAATAATTATAACAATATATAAATAATTAATAATATAATAAACATATATATATATATAGATAAATAAGAAAATGCGTTTATATAAAATGTTTACAAAAAAAGAATGAAATTTGATTAATTGAAAGAAGCAAAAAATCAAAATTGAAAAAAATATTATAATTTATTAAAAAAAGATAAAAAATGCCAGTTTTTATTTAAAAATGCTAGAATTTATGTATAAAAAAATAATAATAAATAATGTAAGTATAAATAAAGTATGCACACATTTCTAAAGCATCTATAGGGAAAAAAATGAGCTTATTCCGCTAAATCCGATCCTAGATCCAGTAGAGGCATATTCAACCCCTCTGTCAGTCAACATTCATCTGGCTCATTATCTTCTACTCCATAACATGCCCCAGCGATACAGAGTTATAAGGATTGTGCGCATACTCTGCTTGTGTTTAACGTCTCGAGACAGCCTCACACTACACCTTGGGAAGTAAGAACAAGTATGAGCTTAGCGCTCCGATAACAGCGCTCCAACTATTCGGAAATGTGTTGCTATTTATTTTCTCCGATAATCCTCCTCTCAAAATTAAGAAGCACGCACATGTCATTGGTATGCCCACTACGGCTTAGAATTCGTTCACTCGAATACGTCCTCTAATTGTCAACCATAACTTACAAATTACAATTTACAGAGGAGGCAAAAATATCACCCACCCTCTCCACACTGTTGACATAAGTAAATTCGTTTAACAAAAATCTTAATAAATTGCAGGATATATACAAAACAAAACAACTGAAAAAATTTGTTAACTTTAACATTATTAAACACCGCTGACAACGCAATTTGTGTAAATAAAAAATATCATAGCCTGTTTATTATTTCTGAGAGATTATAAGGATGTAGATTCAACTATAGTGCATGTACCTTCATATACAAAAAATACTATAAATGAAAACATTAAGAGCAAAAACGAAATAATTTTCAATAATGACACACACACACACATCAAACATAACACTAAGCATATATGAAAGTATATGAGATTTTTATGTGGAAAAGGTGAAAAAGATGACCTTGTAGTGAGGAAAAGGATCAACTATAAAAGATAAAAGAGGATCAAAAGGACCGTATATTTGGTTCTTTTCCTCACAGTTAAGCACAAATACTTTTTAAATTCTGCAAACGCAGAAAAGTAGTTATAGACTTCTTTTTCAGCGGCATAGCACAGTTGATCTCTAAAAAAACAAAATGGCCATTAGAATTAACCGTTTTTTTTTTCAAATTTTTTTAAATTAATTTTCTTCTAGAAGACATTTTGTAGAATTTTAAAATCTTAGCAGCTTTTAGATACTGACAAATAATTTATTTTGTTAGAAAGAAATTTTCTTCCACCTTCACCGCTTTATATTTATCGCCTCTTGAAATTTACGTTACATTTCCGAAACTGTAAGCTGGTTTTCCAAATTTCTATAAATGAAGAAAACTAACGGTAAATGACATGCCATCAAAAAACATAATTACTTTTCTTAGCTCCCGTAATTTACCAACAAATTTTGTTAACTTTTTGTTAACTATTCACAAATTTTTTTTTCTTCCCTAAATGTATGCAATTTTTTGAAATATTTTGTAATAAATGTTATAAATTGTTTTTAAAAGCAGTATTTTCACTTGTTGAAGGAAAGTGCTGTTCTACAAACCTTTGGTTTAACCCAACTTTATTTTTATTTACACACACACAAACACAATTTTGATAAAGTAGTTCATTTTTTGTTCAAAAAACTTTAAACAATTATTTATTTTATATGAGTTAAGCCAAGCAGTAGTAGCCAGTTTTAAAAAAAAATTATTAAGCGAAACAAAAAAATTTTTAAAACTGCATAAAAAAATCAAAATTAAAAGAAAAAAAAAAAACGGAAAAATTAGAGGAAGTCAGAGTGAAAAAAGCCACTAATTAATGTTTTTTTATTTTGGGATTTTTTTTCTTTTTTCTCAAAATAATTTCTTTCTTTGTCATCCATTTTTGTTTTATTATTTTTTTTTTCGTTTGCTTAATTTAAAATTAATTTAAAATTAAAAATTAAAATTAAGAACAAAAAAAAACACAAATTAATATTGGATAAAAAATCAATTTTTACTGAGATCAGTTCTAGTTGCTGCTACTGTTGAAATAGCTGATGTAACAGCTGGAGCGGAACTTATCGATATAGTACTACTTGATGGTGATGGTTGTTGATAATTACTAATGTCACCAGTAGTACCTCCACTACCACTATTACTATGGCCATGCCATAAATTTGATAAAAATTGTTGTCCTGTATGTAAAATTCCAGATGAAGTACCAGATGAATGTGTATGACCAGTTGTTGTTATTATTCTATTACTAAGTTCTTGATCTAACCTTCCTACTCCTCCTCCATTCGCTTCTGCTGATAATGTTTCATCAATTATTATTCCATTGTTACTATTATTAATATCATTTCCAATATTTCCTAAAAAAATGATCATCTCCTTTATAACTTTTTTTTTAATATTTATTCCATTTGTTATTATATTTGTTAACAGTTACCAATTTTATTGTTGGATACATCTTGTTGCTGATTTTTTATTTGATTTTTTTTTTCATATTCATCTTTTTGTTGTATACGTTTATTTAATGTTTTTTCCCATTCAATATGTGCATCCATTAATAATTTTGAATTCTCAATGCCACGTATATATTCTAATGCAATAATTGGCCATTCATCTAATGTTTGTGTTTGTTTTGTATTACCATCATCCATACCGGGTGGTATTATTTCACCTTTTGCTTTAATATTACGTAAATTACGATCATAATTAACACGTTTAAAACGATTAGCATTATTATCATGTACGGATTTTTTTCTAGCCATTCTTAAATAACGTTTTATTGTATCACTAACTGATTGTGATATATCTTCATTATCAAGACTACTTTTTCTTCTTGAACGATGTGTTGTTGTTGTTGCTGTATTACTACTTGATTTATCACTTTCATCATCAGTTGGACTTAATAGAGCTCGTTCTCTTTCTTCTTCTTTTCTTTTTAATTCTAAATCTTTGGCCAAACGTTGTAATTCATGTAAATGTATAAAATCCGTTTGTATGCCAAGTGTGCTATAAATCAGTTAATTTTTTCAATATATATATAAATATATATATATATATGTTCATAAAATATATAAATAACCAAAAAAAAAATATAGATCATATAAACCTTCTAGAAAATTTAAAAAATATGAAACGCACATATCACCAAGATCACATATCATATGATTTTGCATAAAACTCGAAAGACGTGCGTATTGCTATTGATCGCGATTTATTTTATTTATTCCAATACAAAAAGAGCAATAAAATTTTGATTGAAATTTTAAAAATTTCTATCTTATAATAAATTCTACTACTGTCTGGCAACATCTTAGTGCTTATTAGGAATATATGGTAGTTGTTATACTGAAATTTCCACATTGTTTTTATTTTATTTAACAGTGCAATTTTAAAGAATATGAAAGCTGAAGACTATATCATATCCTGGAGACTATATGCAAATTGTAGGCTATCATCTCTTAGAGACTATATGCAAACAGGAGTATGCAATTATAATTAGATGACTATATCCCACTTTTAGAGTTTGATGTGTGATATCAGCCTGTTAAAATACTCAAAAATGTTCATATTTTTTTCAAAAGCAGTTCTCAAAAGAAACCGGTACAAAATATTCTATAATATTATAGTAATGGACCAGATATGATAAATGTTATCTTCATATTTTTTTAGTTTAATATGATTATAATGATCTTAGTATACAAAAAAAAAAGGATTTAGTCAATTTGCATTAATACGTATAGTATATGCGCTTTCCTATTCTTCAAGCCGACTTGTTTTCGTATATGTTAGGACTGTATTTGGGAAGTGATAGTAACCTATCTATATTGGTGCTTCATTAAATTTTAAAAATTGAGATCAAAATTTTCTATATTTCAGATTCTTCTGATGAATACAGCCTGCAGGTTGTTGTCTGCTCACAATTGAATCTTCATATAAAAAAATATCGTCTATAAAAATTGAAATCTTTAATGAATAATAGTAAAAATAAAATCGTATATATAATATTAAAATTTAAAGTACATTTTGTATAAGTGTCTGTCACGAATAGTGTCGTCGTTTTTGTCGAATATCGAACAAAGATTTTTAACATAATTTTAATTAACTTATTCTCTTAGCTAATATTATCTCTCTTTACACTCCCTGTAATTATATTTTATTATCGCATATAAAATATTATTTACATAATAATTTATAACTGTTATATAACTTTAACTATACAGTTTTTACTTCCTTTAACAATATTATATATACTGCCGAACACGCTTTTATTTCCAACACGCAATAAAGCAAAACTTTTTATATATACATTGCATTTTTGCATGCCTACATTATGATTTTTCTAATCATAGTACGGCGATATATGCACAAAGAAAATTCTGTGCGAACTGTTATGCATATAAGCGTATTCGACTGTGTATCTATTTATGGTATTTGGTTTATAAAAGCAAGGGGAAACTGCAAAACTATGAGTTTACATTCATGAGCGCTGAGTATAACACGAAATGAAATATAGAAAGAATTGTGAGATTAAAAATTAGAAACAATTATTAGGCATAAGAGACATGTGATCGAATCCTTGATTATCATGATTATATCGAATAATATTTAATTCAATAATTTTTAAGGACAAATATTAGAGTTTTGTTTTTATACTTTTATAGTTACTATTTTTTTTTTCGTTACCTGCTCTGTATTTTATTTGATGTTGATGCTTTTTTATTAATGCCATGTATTTTTGATATTGCACCAGTACTTGTTCTAGTTGTTGTTGTTGGTGTTGTTGTTGCTGGTGTTGTTGTTGTTCGTATTGTTGAAAAATTATTTAATATAGTTTTATAATCGTTATCATTTGTAATTGTAGTTGTCAATGGCCTACCATTTGATGATGATGATGATGACGATAATAATGTTTTTGGTGTTGTTGTTATTGAACCACATGTTGTTACTGTTTTCGATGCTGTTGATACATTACGTAATTGTATATTTGGAAAATTTGTATTATATTGGGTAGATTGTTGTGTTGTTATTGGTTTTAAATTAATATTTTCATTAATATTATTTATATTACTATTTTGATTATTATTAATATTTGTATTACGTTTAAAGTTTAAAACATTTGAAAATGATGTTGATAATGATTTTGTAGTATTATCATTATTATTATTACTATTATAATTATTATTATTATATGATGATGTTTTATAATATGTTTGTGATGAAGTTAATGATGATAATGATGATGATGATGTTAAAGGTAATGTTGTTGATGGTATAAATTTATTTGATAATGATTTTGTTTTATTATTCCTATTTTTATATAATATACGATTTAATTGTTGCTTTTTTAAATCATTATATAATTTTTTCAATAATATTTTATTATTAATAACATCCGGTGTTATTTTATCAAGATTTAATAATGTTTTTGATTTCATAATAATATCATTATTTTCATATAATTTATTATATTGATGTAATTTTTGTAATAAATCATGTAATAATTGTTCTTGTAATTTCATATCATTCTCATTATTATTGTTATTATTACTATTATTATTTGTACATGATTTTGTTAATAAAGATGATGATGATGATGTTGATGGTAATTGTGATGATGATGGTAATGATGACATTGTATTACTATTATTATAATTATTAGCTAAATTATTTAAATTAATATCATTTTTATTATTTTTATTATAATTATTATTATTACTATTACTATCATTATTATTATTATTATTATTATTATTATTATTATTATTATTATTGTTATTATTACTGTTATATGCAATTAATGGACGTTGAGATGATGGTGATTGTTTTTGATCTGGTCTTATTGTTTTTGAATTTAATAATGTTGTTATATTTTTATTTTGATCATTTAAATTTAATAAATTTTGTAATATTGTTATAATTTTATCAATATTTTTATTTGCTTCAATATAATCATTTGAATTAATAATTGATAATAAATCATCATTATCATCATATATGTTATTATTATTAATTGATTTATTTGAATATGATAGTAATTTTTTAAAACGTGGTTTTAACGATAATGATGATGAATTACGTTGCTGCTGCTGTTGATAATGATGATGATGTGTAACACCAATTGCACCTGGATATGATGATTTACGTTTCCATATTATAAATCTTTTTTCATTTGAACATATATTTTGAAAATTTTTTTCAATTTTTTGTAAATCATCTTTTATATTTTGTGGATTATTATTTTGACTTAAATTATCTGGTATTAATTTACGACCAGCATCAGTCATATATTTCCATGTTTTACGTGTTAATAACCAACGTTCACGTTTTTTTGGTTCTTTTTTTTCTTTAACTGGTGGCATTTTTAATGATGATGATGATAATATTATTTCTCCTGTTCCCGTTGTTGTTTTTATAGATTTTGGATTCAATTTTGAATTCAATAACATTAATGGTGATGACAATGTTGTTGAATCTGTTGTTATTGATGTTGTCGTCGTCGTTATTGTCGGTATTTTAGTTGTATTATTAAATGGAATTTCAGTATTATTTTTCAATAAAAATTGTGTTGCAGTTGATAATTTTGTTTCTAATAATGATGGTGATGATAATAATATTTTATCGTTTATTTTTTCATCATCTATTATTTGTCTTTTAGAATTTATAATAGAATTTTGATTATTTGAATTTATTATCACAGTTATGTTACTGTTATTATTATTAATGTTATTATTATTACTATTATTATTAATAATAATAATGGCAGGTTGATGACAGTCTTCTTTATTATCAATTAAATCTTTATTAATTATATTATATTGTAATTGTTTATTGTTTGTTGTCGTTATATTTGTAGATGTGGATGTTGTTGTTGTTCTTGTTGATGTTGTTGTAGTTCCTCGTTTATCATTATCGTTATTTTGATCATCATAATATTTTTTTTTTGGTTTTTTTAAATCATCCATTTAAATTTCAATAATATACATACATATATACATATATATATATATATATATATATATTTATAAATGTATACATTTATTTTTCCATTTAATTGCAATTTTATTGAAATTTTTTATTAATTTTTTTTTTTTTTAACTAACAATACAAATTAATTTTTCAATATTCATTGCTATATTCAGTGCTATTTATTAATTATTATAACAGTAAATTATAACAGTATAATTTTATTATATAAAAAATAAATATTCTTTTCTTTTCATTGAGAACATATTCTTTAATTTTTAATAATAATAAGTCAAGAGAAATTTATTTTTGTTTTTCCTTTTTTTAATTTTATTATTTTTTTCACTACTGCACACACATACTCACGCATAAAATAAGTGTACATGTATATAAATATTCCTTGTACACATTCTATATATTTACAATGAGTGATGCATTTTTGTATTTTATATATGTATTGTGTGTGTTTGTGTGAAATTTTCGTGTTTATTTTTTGAATTCTTTAATTTTTCTCTTAATAAAATTTTTTAATTAATTTATTTTACTAAAATTTTTCTTTTGGTCTTTTCTATAATTAATTCTATGTATAATTAATTAGATTAAAAAAAATTACTTTAAATTTTACAAAAATGTTAATTTTTTTGATTTCCTACATACCTATATACACTTAGTAAATAAAATTATTATAATTAATTTTAATAAGTTTTTAATTCAAAAATTGCTTGTTTTTTCAAATAAAAATTGATTATTTAATATTTTCATATGTTTGTATGTATATATTTAATAATTGTTTTCAAAGTTCTTTAAATTCTTAATCAACTTTTTATTACATTTTTTTCCAACAGGTAGTGCTGTCTTAAGTTGTAAACAATATATATACATATAATATGAGAGAAACACATATATGTATGAGAAAAATTAATATAATTTTTAATACAAAAATATACATACATACATATATAATGTATCTCTATGTACATACATTCATACATATATAACTAATGATTTAAGTATATGATTTGTGTATACGATGTACGTGTTTGTATTTATATCAGTGGCCTCAAACACAAACCGCCTAACTCGAGTTAAGACAAAAATGAGATATGTTTACCAGCGAGTTCTCCGTTTTGAGTTTCATATGCTCACAAAATTTGGTGGTTCTACAACTGTTGTAGCCGGAGTTATTGTCGAATTCACACATGACCTAACTCGAAATGGTAGCTATGTGCACTTGCACTAACCGCCTATTTCGAGTTAGGAGCAGAAAACATCTTTTTTATGTTTTTGACAAACAACTTATTTCGAGATAGGTTATTGTTGCAAATCAAAATTAGTGACATTTTTTTTTATTTGTATGAATTTTTACAACCGCTTATCTCGAGTTAGGCTTTTGTTGCAAAATTAATTTTGATTTTTTTTAAATACTAACTCGACATAAGCGATTTGTGTAAAATAATTATTGTTGGTTGTTTAAACTCATCTCGAGTTAGGCGATTATTGCAAATGCAATTATATTCCAAAAGGCTTCTTATGTTGAGTTAGGTTTTTATAACGCGTGCAAATAAGAATCAAAAATCAAAGTTAAGCGTTTAGTGTTCGAAATAATACATGATCAGTATAGAATATTTTTCAGTTTTTTTAATAAAAAATATTTTATAACGCTTAACATATTATTTTATGTGATATATAGTGTAGGTACTTTATATTCATGATTTACATTCAGCGACAAGTAAAATTGTTGTATTTTTTAACACAAAATATAAAACATCTGCAGAAGTTACCTGCATTATTAATGCTCTAATTACCCAAATATCCTATGTTTAAGATTTGAATTTTTTTATTTAACAATAATAATCTTGTAGGTCATTTCGTGATTTACCTGCGACAAATGTTTTTTTCAATTGACGGAGTTCCCATGTTAAAATGACACGTGGCTAGCTACCTGATGGTAGATTGTTTTGCCTTTGTGGTCTAACATAATTGTATTATTAAACAAAGTGTTGTCTTATTACGCCCTTGTAAAACACATGTTATTAGGAAGATAAAATTTTTGTGTTTAACAAGAGTTTTTATCTTAACTATTGTATTACAAAGCAATACTTTTATTATACACTAGTAAAACACATTTTGTTAGGAAATTCAAATTATTATAATTTGCAAGGGTTTTCAACAAATAAAATTGGTACATCTGCGAATAACAATATTTTGTTATACTTTTTATTACTCATTTCCGTGAGATCAAATTTCTTCGATTTTCAAATATTTATGATATTTTTGTTATTTCGAAGGAAGTATTTTTTACAAAGACAGTTATTTGTTATTGTTTTTAAATGTGCTTATGTTGGAAATTGTTAAATAATATAAAAATTATCCAATATAAACTTTATTCACGCTTAATAAATGTACATTAAAAAATTTGGAACTTGCTAGGAGAGCTGAGATGATTGTGGTGGATGTTATAGGTATTGCAATATATTTGAAACTAACATAACGGATTCAAAGTGTTTTAAAGCATAGAAATTAGCGAAACTGGTCCTATAGTAAATAAACAAGTATTTACACAACAGATCTTACTTTGAAAACCGAAGTTAATACAGTTTTGAAAACCGCAATTGACTTTGGTCGTGGTGACTGTATTAACGATCCTGATTTTAAAATTGACAACATTCAAAAGCAAGTTTTCGGGTCCTATTGGGCATGTGAACATATCTGTAGAGATAAAAAAATATGAAAGGCTTTCTACTTTTATTCTTTTAAGAAAAATCCTTTTACAATTTGCCGAACGGTTAGAAAAATTCGCTTCATCTTTCGCGACCGGGCTTCCTGAATGCACTCAAGTACATGAACGCTCGAAACTGACTCGTGGTCAATTTGTATGGAGTCTTAATTTAAAAGTAAATGCTGACAGCTAAAATAAAAATGTCGAGCAAACTTACAATATTCTTTGTTTATTTGATAATCAAATACTTATATACTCTATGATAGGAGAGCAAATTCCGAACCAATTTACTTTGCCACAACTTTTTACGGAGATCTATATACTTTTTACGGCAGAACTTAGAGAAAAACTGACTCACAAACCATTCTCTATATGTAATTAATAATACGTCTCCAAGATTTAATTTTCACAAGTATCGAATTATTATTTTCTATACGAGTTCGAGTTCACTATCAAATTTGACTTTTCATTACAGTAGTTGTAATGACTCACACTCGATTTCATTTTGTTTTTTGATTTAAAAATTTTAATTAATTCGCATTTAGTATCATTATGAACAAGTAAGAAAGTCATATGGACTATAGTACATAAATAAAATAACAAACACAAAACTCATAAACTCATTTTAGAGATTACTTTATGTGCTAATTTTTACAATATTGTAACAACTTTGTCAGATCCGTTGCACAATGAAGCCTTTTTGTAATTGAAATACTTTTTGAAACTCCCTTAAGTGGAAAGAGCCACACCACAGATTTTAAAAAATTGACTTCCAAAAAATATTTTACAAAAACAGTTTATACGAACAACGCTTTCTTATATTTTAAGACAAGGTGTTAACTAGTTAGATTTTCAAGATATACTCCGAATTGAAAAAAAAGAGAAAATTAGTCCCAAAAAAGAAAAACTTAGAGTACTTGATGCAATTTATTGATCCTTTGGTTCAAAAATTTTACAAAACGATTAATACTGGAGACTTAGCAGATACTCCTCTATATTTAGTCGAAGAATTCGAGAGAGAATAAAAGATACTGTCACCTTTTTAGCACTTTTCCAAAAAAATTTTGAAAAAAAGTGCTTATTAGTTTCACTCTGTCCGTCCGTCCGTCCGTCCGTCCGTCCGTCCGTCCGTCCGTCCGTCCGTCCGTCCGTCCGTCCGTCCGTCCGTCTGTCCGTGTGTCTGTTTACAAAACTTCTACACCCTTGAAGATAGAAAGCTGAAATTTTGCACGTTCATAGATTTTTACTAGAAACTTATTTTCGTAGAACAAAATTTTTATCTATCTCCCCCCCTTTAGAAGTTATACCCCCCCGAAACCCTAAAAATGCCATTCTTTAACTATTTAGTGCAATGAAACCATAAGAATTTTTCAAATTTTGCAAACGCAGAAAGGCAGTGGCTTGCTTCCCCTAGCGGGGTATATTAAGGTTAACTTTAGAAAAACAAAATGGCCGCTCAAATTTACCGTTATCTAAAGTCTGTTTTTTCCAAATTTTTGATGTCGTTTATTTTCTAGACCCCAGCCTGTAGAAGCTTGAAATTTTATGGGCTTTTAGACATTAACAAATAGTTCATTTCGTTAGAAAAACATTTTTTTCCATCTCCTTCCCCTCTCAAGTTATTGCCTCTTGAAATTCGTAAAATTTGAATTTTTGACACCTTATATTTCCGAAACCGCAAGCTTCTCCAAATTTTTATAAACGCAAAAAGCTAACGGTAAATTCCATGAAATTAAAAAATATAATTATTTTTCTTAACTCACACAATTAACGCTTAAAATCGAGCATTGTGGTAACCCCTTTTTATATTAATTTTTGCTTTAATTCAAAGACTGCATATATGCGTCATCCTAAATATATGCAATCCTAGAAATAGTTTTGTATATGAATGAAAATAATTTTAATAGTGTGATAGGTATACATAGACTGTATTTAAAAGCAGAATTTTCACTTGCTGAAGGGAAAAGTGCTACAATACAAACCATTGGTTTGACCCAACTTTATTTAAATTTGATGAAAAAATTATTTTTAACTTTTAGAAATAATTTTTCCTTGAAGTTTATTCATTTCTTGCCTCAATTTATGGTTTTTATGACAATGATTTGAAAAAAGAGTGAAAAATCAAATAACCTAAAAATAATACATATATTTCTTCCCTTTTTAGTATAACTTAAGTCACCTAAAACCATATCTTCAGTTTTGCAACAACAGCTTAAGTCGACTTAAGTTTGACGAAAATGCAAAAGTAATTTTTCACAAATCGCCTAACTCGAGATATGCTTTGCAAAGTGCTTTTTATAAATTTTGTATAACCGCTTATCTCTCTTTTTTCACAATTATGAGAATACTATTAGTTGTTTTACTTCAGATTATAAGTTAATCGCTTCCTTTTTTAATTATCTTTCGATCAAAAAAAAAATTGGCTCAAAAAACTTCATAACTTTTTTCAAAATTAAATTTAAAGTTTAAAATGCATTTATCTCGAAATCACTAAAACAGACTTAAGTCGTTTGTGCTTGAAGCCACTGATATATTGTGGAAATATGCGATTGCACTTGTGTGTTTTGCAAAAAACGACAAAAAATTAAAAAAAAAAAATACCTATAACATTTCAAAAAAAAATATTTTTTACGACAGCATATACATACAAACAATCAAAAAAAAAAATTCATTGGCCATGACATTTATATTTTATGCTCTTATTTTTCAGCCCAATTTTAGTTTTTTTTTTTTTTTTTAATTTTTTTCAAATAGTCCTATATACCGTAATATTCGACATCAATTTTTGATTTTATATTATACTGTTTTCAAAAACCGCATATATACTCGTATATATAAATCTATGACAACAAAGAGATTTTTGTTTTTATTGCAAATAAATTGCCAATATTAAAAAACAAGCAAGATCACAGCTTTTTAGAGAAACTATATACATACATACGTTCTAATCAGTCTGAAAAATCATTTGATCGCCGTCATTTAATATTTGCAATAAACAACTTGTTTTCAACATAAGATTTTCAGAAAAAGAACAAATAAAATGTGGAATTACTGATTTTTCTAAAATGTAATGTGCAAGTTTTCATAAAATTTTTTTAAAATTCACGAAATATTTTCCAAAAAAAAAAAAAATTTAATTGTAAAATTATATTTGAGTATGATACAAATTTTAAAAATTTTCACAATATTCAATACAAAACGATCTCATATGAAAAATTCAATAATAATTATTACCACACTTTTATATAGTAAACTCTCTATATAATCAACTACACTCCCAATATAAAACAATATACATAGCATTTCAGACAGTGGTGTATTAACATATACTGCGCGTATATCTTCATATGTAAGTAAAAATTTTGCTGCGCAGTAGCCTACTCTTGAAACCGGGTTTAAAAAGGAAAACATTTTTTTTTTTTTTCGATTTTGTCGCAAATAGGCTATAAATTTGGCTGCGTAAGACAAACGTTACATTTAATTAGACATTCGCTAGAAAACTGATACAAAAGCCTATCCAACAAGCGTGCAATTAACTACCGCAGCATTTTTAGTTCAGATGCTACTAGTCGTTTGAAAAATGAATGTAATGTTGCAGCATTTAAAAATTTCAAAGAAAATAGATTGCCCGTTTTCAAAGTTTTCTGTTAACATGCCACCCATAGTCGTACCCCTCCTAGTTACAGAGAAATTGCTTTTTGATTATTGAATAATTTCTCATAAAAAGAATTTACTTATATAGTAGTGCTTTAATAATTTAGTAAAATTTTTTTTGAATTCTTAATAAATTAAATAATAATATAAAGAAAAATTTAGCTGCTTTTAAGGCACTAAAATTAATCATTTATTTCGTTAGAAGAAAATTTCTTTCCGCCTCTATCCTTCCCTCACATGTTATCGCCTTTAAAAAATTTATAAAATTTGAGTTTTGGGCACCATATATTTCAAAAAACTTGTGAACTTTTTTAAATTTTAAAATAAACGCGATATGCCATCAAAAAGTACAAATTATTATCTTAAATCACTAACTTAACCGTCGAATTGCATTGGGTTTGTTGGGTGTTGGTTTTGGGAGGCTGCCGATTGGCCTTTCTGTTGTCCTAGAGCATGGGCTTCGCGCTAGTGTACGGGTGGGAAACCCCCTATCTTACTACTACCATTAGTAATCGTCCTATTTAATCCATTATGTTAACGCTTCAGTTAAATATTTTTCTCTTGCTCATCCCTAATTATATGCAATATTTTTGTATATGCACAAAAGTAATTTAAATACAATGTAATATTTAAATTAAGAGCAATATTTTCTCACTTATTAAAGGGATTGAAATGCTAATTTACAACCCCCTGATTCAATTCTAATTTATTCCTATAGTTTATATGACGGGGCGTCTACTGTAATTGCAATAGTGTATGTATATGTATGTATGTATATGGGAGTATATATTATGTATGTTCCATTCAAAATATTAATTAAATTTTTATATAATTTACAAAAAAAAAACAAAAAAAACTAAATCTTTTTTTAGATTTATTTTTTAGATTTAAGTTGTTTTGTTCAATTTTTTATATTAATTTTACTCGTTTTACGTTACACCGCGAATGAAAATAAAAAAAAAATTTTTTAGTAATATTTTTTAAATATTTTGGAACTTTTTTTTTTGTTGTTGATTTTTGATCATTTTGTTTATAAAAACTTCCAAATTTCCTTAACTAAAAATATTTTAGAATTTTATTAAAAATTATTTTTTTATTTTTTTTTTTGTATTTATGACAATTTTTTCTCATTTTTTTTTTTAATTAGGAAAATAGTTTTTTCACACCTTTGTATTTTTTCACTTTTGTACTTTTAAAAGAAGATTAATTTTTTTTTTTAATTTTCGCACTTTGAATTTTAATTATTTTTATTCAATACTAATAAAAAATTAAAAAAATATTCAATATTTAATTTTACTAATTTAATTTTTTCATATTTAAATAGACAGAAGGAAAAACCTAAAAAAGAAAATTTTTGTTTTTCCTTTTATTTTTAAACAAAAAAAATGAAAAATAAAAAAAAATAATGTTTTCAAAAAAATTTTTTTTTTCACTTAAAACATAATTTTTTTTTAATACATACAAATAAAACTAAAAACTACATATATATACACACACGATGATTTAGATATATATACCTCATATACAAGCATATATATATATATATAAATAAATAAAAAATATTGTTATTTATTTTACAAAAAGAAAATTTTTTGATTTTTCTTTGTGATAACGCGGGGCGGCGGCGCGATATACCACAAATTTAGAAAACTAAAAAAGCGAGAGTGCAAAGAGATAAAAAAAAGGCAAGAAAAAAACAAAAAAAAAAAAAAACGAAACAAAACAAAATTTTAAATTTTCCTTTTTATTTTTAGCAAATTTTCTAAAAAAAAAAATTTTTGAAAAGAAAGTGCTTATTGGTTTCATTCTTCCCGCCTGTCTGTCTGTTTACAAAACTTCTAATCATCAATAAATACATATTTTCTAGAAACTTATTTCTATAGAATGAAATTTTTACTTACAAGACGGTTGGGACGGGCCCTTTTTAATTATAAAAACTATAATAGTTCTATAAAAATGCCACTTTTCTTATTGTAAAAAAACCGTAAAAATTTTCCAAAATCTGAAAACGAAACCGGCCGGTTTCTTCTTTTAACGACAACGTTTGAAATTTGAGTAGCTTTTAGATTCCAATAAATAGTTTATTTTGCTTAAAAAAAATATTTTTTCCAATTTTCGAAAAAACTTATTTTGAATTATTGGAACCTTATATTTGTGAAACTTCGCAAGCTGGTTTCCTAGATTTCTAAAAACTGCAGAAACCTAACACGATAACGGCCATGCCATTAAGAAATCTAATTATTTATCTTAACTCACGCAATTAACTTTTGAGTTCGAACATTATGTTAAAGCCTCTTTCATTATCTTTTGTTTTGTCTCATCCCTAAATGTATGCAATATTTTTGTATACAAGTTAAAGTATGTAATTTAAATTGTATAACTTGACCAATGGTACAGTGGTTATTGCACTGGTCCTTTGCAACAGAAGGATTTCGGGTTCAAAGCCCTATAATTCACTATAAAAATTATATTCAATATTATATAGCTTTATACTAACTAAATTAATAAACTAATTGCCATACTTCAATATAAAAAAAAATACAAGCAAAATAAAACTACGATAGGCTCGTCAACTACCTACTAAACTCAATGACGTAAGAAACTGGTGTTCATGGTTATCTATACAATATCGTGCACCAGCCCTATGCTCCTTCCAGGACCGAAGTAGGAATATTAAATTTAAATTGCATAATAGATTATTTTTAACAGAAAAAATTTTGACATGTTAAAAATAAAATGTGCTACTTTAAAAAACCATTGCTTTAACCCAACATTATTTTTATATTTTTTCTTTTCCTAGAATATATGAAAAATTTGAATTATAACAGAAAAAGCATGGGTTTTTTTTTAATTTAAAAATTTTGTGCAGAATGAACACACACAAAAATATATATGCAAAAAAAACAACAGCAACATGTCATAATTATATGTTTACACAGACTGAATTCATATAAAATAATAATTGGTCATTTAAAAAATGTTTTTGTTTAATTTTTTGGTAAAAAATTTAAATTTGATTTCGGCCAAAGGCAACCTATATAGTCTGGTAGTTTTTGGCTAATGTATTTTTTTGAACATTTTGGCATAAATCAACTGGCCGAGCTGAAACAATCTTAAACCAAAACGAAGAAATATGTTATCCTTATATGTATAGATTTATTAGCAAAAATCATATAGCTCGCATGTTCCCTATGTGCCGCAAAGGTATCAAATCGAAACTTTATGCATATATTGACTACTGCCATTTATTGAAATTACTCGTACATATATAGTTTATCGCCAATAAATTATATTATTCTACAAGCTGGCTTATATTATTCAAGTAAGCTGGTGGAAATCGAAGACTCATTGCATATGTGCACAAATTAATTATAAAACAGACTGTATTTTATATTTTATATATGCGTACTCTCTTTCTTTTTAATGTTAAAATTAAAAATTTAACATCAAAAGGAAAGAGAAAATATTATTCATATATCAAAAGAAAAACCTATTTTCTTTTATATATGTATATAAGTATTATAATTTTCTTCTATACATATACAAGAACATAAAATAAGAAAATTAAAAAGAAGTAATAATTTCCGTTAACTTTCTCGATAATATGCGGTAATTTTAAAAGTACGGTATGGTAAAAAAATGTCTGATTAAGTTTAAAAAGTAAACTAATAAGAGAGCCGTTAAATTAATAGAATTAAATTTTAATATAATAGAAATTTCAAAATTAAGAAAACACAAGTGTTTATTAAAGTATAGTTACGATATTTCTACAATATTGCGTCAGTAAGTAGCTTCTGTATTCAATAATGTGTGCGTAATATCGTAATATTATAGTTTGTACAGCTAAAAATTTTTGTATACCTTCATTTTTTTTTTTTAGAATTTTGGCATTTGTCGCAATACAGGGTGTTCAAGATTCGATCATACCATGCAGTGAATTGCAGATTGATAGAATATGTGCAAACACAGGAAAAAAAAGAAACCAAATGATTTTCCAATTTTCTTTTTTGGGATTTTCTCTGCTCCACCTTCGGGAGTACACATTATCGAGTCTCAATCATATATATTATAATGAATTGATAATTTCCTTTTGGAACAACATGTAGTTTTTTTTCTTTAATAATTTTTCAAACAATGTCGTATGGGTGTTTATTCATTTTTTTTTCTTCTTTTCATATTCTTTTCATTCTCAATAATCATCAAAAATATTTGAAATAGCATCAACAGTATATATTTAAAAAGAGATCACTATTTATAAATATGTACGGTGAATATTTTTCTGTATATATAGGTATATTTAACCTCGTTGAACACAGTATCAGTTATTTATATTATAGCGATATATATGTATGCACATATAGCCGCTAATATTTTTATTATTTATTAATTTATTCATTCCAATCTATATAATGGAAAATTTTTCTTACATACAATTATTTGGAGTAAAAATTTTTAAGAAAAAATAATATTAATTTACAATTCTTCAAATTAAATTCTTTAAAAGAAAAATAAGCAACAATCCTTACCAAGAATTAAATAATAAGGAAATGAGATAAATTTCAAAAATTAAAAAAAAAAGTTTTATCAACCCAATCTTACATAGTAAACTAATTACCGATCGCAATTGCATATTTACAATAAAAGAGATTATTATAGTATACAAAAGACTGTAAATAATTTAAAAAATTTGTATTAAATTATGATTAGATTGTAAATGTTGTAGATTTTATGGCAATTGAAAGGAAGCAAGAGAACATTTATCCAGAGCTACTGCCGCCATTCGTAATTTATTGTAGCTCATCCTACCTCTAAAATATAATTAAAGTTATACGGTTGAAAAGTTTCCATCCTACATTTCATTGGTTTTAAGAAATTATATGATTCAATACTTATCTGTTACCTTTAAGTAGGTCTTAATGTAATTTTGTTGTGGCAAAAATTTTTTCATTCAATATACAATAAAATATATTGTGTGCTTACTTTACTCGTTTTTGAGTATTTATACACACATAAACATTTATACATACAAAGAAAATATACAATATGTATATGTTTTTTTTTTTACGAAATTAATTTTTTCTTTTTGATTTTTATTATTTTAAAATTTTATTTAAAAAAAATTTGTAAAAAAAATTCTTTTCATTAAGAAAAAATAATACCTGAAAATTTCTATAAATATAAAATAAATATGTATGAATATTTAGGTATATAAAGTAAATAAACAATGTGGAAATGTTCCACATGTAAATTTTTTGTATACAAAAAGTATATAATATGCAGCCATCCACAGGAAATAGCGTCAAAATTTATGTTTCTTTTGTCTTAAACTTAAAAAAATATTCTAGAAATTAAATACATTATGCATGTGTATGCACTTCTTTTGAATTAAGGTTTCTTATATATATATAGTTCTATCAAACGGAACTACATCCGATTCTCAAGTCATCTATAATCCTCTCGAATTCTATATAAATTTTAATTTTCGCCACTTTATATTTTCCGAAATGGCGCAAGCCGGTTATTATAAAATTTTACATAAATACAGAATGCTGAAATACAGTAAATGCCACGCCATCAAAAAAAATATAATTATTTTTTGATTAAATTCAAAAAAATTAAACCGATCAACTCGATCATTATGTTAACGCATCACTTTCAATTTGATAATAATCTCATTCCTAAATGTATGCAAGATATAAGTATAACAAATGTATTTGAAATTTTATGTTTTTGCTATTTCATATAGATAAAGTAATTTTAATTGTTATTCTAAATAATAAAACAAAATTATTTTAAAGAGTAATATTTTTATTTATTTGAAGGGATTTTATTTGAATTATTGAAGGGATTGAAATGCTACTTCACAAACCACAATTGTTTTTTTTTTCTCATCCCTAAAAATATGCAATTTTTTCTATATGAATAAAAGTAATTTAAATACAATGGGGATTTTATCAGAGTTTCAAAAACAACTTTATTTTATTATAAAGACTCAAATCATTTGTAATAAATTGGTTTGTGTACATAATAATAACATGAAACTTTACGATAATTTATCACTATTGTTTAGTGATCAATTTAAGTATTTATTGGCTATCAATAAATATTTAAAATATATGAAGTTTATTTTGTATAATACATTATTTTACAAGTTTTAATCTTAGTACATCATATATTCCCAAAAAAACGTGCATATTTCTTTGGATATATACAAATTTTTATATATATAAAAACAAAAAACTTAATTCTAATAATCTAAATTTCTCATTTATTTATGAGACCCCTTTTTTATGTTTGTTTACCAATTTTAGATTAAAATTACAAAAAATATTTATATTCTTCTGTTGAAATCTTGTCGGATTCAACAGTAAATCCGAATTTGATCATTCACCGAAGTCTTGTCTCTTACTCTCACGTCTTATTATAATAAAGTAATAATATTGAAGAAAAACACCACTTATTATTTTCTCACTAAATCGAACTTTTTAAAAGTTGACTATTTGGTGAAGGAGGAAATAAGAAAATTTTTGATACGAAATTCATACATATAAAATTTAAAAGCCGAATTCTAATTTACTCTTTTAATATTTTATATCTTTTGTCTGTAAAGAGTTATTCGGCTCACTAACTTTAAAATTAATTATTATTTAATAGGTGTAGAATATATATATATATAGATATTTCATATAGATTAAGCAACTATATTATGCATGAAATTTATAATAAATAATAGAAGAGAGCGAAAGTATATAAAATGGGTTTCAAATATTGTAAAACAAATTAAATAGCAAATTAATAAAGTTATATAGAAAAATTACAATATATAGAGAAAGAACAAAAGCCAGAAAATTATAATTTAAATATATTTTAAAAACATAATTAAAAAACTTACTTTTTTTGTTTAATTTTATATTTTTTGGAGAATAATATTAAAGAATATTTTTTTGTTTCTTGATTATTATAAGGTGTTTTATGTGTTTTATTTTTGATTTTTAGTGATTCATTATCATCAAAGGGGTTGAACTACTTATGCATATGTACAAAAATTATGTTTTTATGTTTTTCAGAATCTATTTATCTTATTTTACATTCAATATTTATAATTAATTATTATTTTACTTTAAAATTACAGTAATTTTTTTAAATATACAATTTTTTCGTTTTTGAAGATTTTATATTTCCTTTTTGTTGTTGTTTTTTTTTTTCTTCTTTTTTTTACGTATTTTCATTTTGTGATTTTTGTATGGCACTCATACAGAGAATAAATTCTTTATAATATATATATATATATATATATATATATAGCTATTTTATAGGTTGACGTTTTTGTTATACACACACTCAAAATTTTTTTTTTTTATAATAATTTTTATTTTTGTAAAACTTTTGTTTTAAATTTCAAAAAAATGGTTTTTTTTTTCAAAGTGTGACAATGAAAATCTTAGATGAATTGTAGTTGTTCTAAAAATTTATCACTTAATTTTTTTTTTTGTTCCAATCCACAACAGTTTTTGTTTTTTTTTTTTGCTTCTTATTTTTTTCAAAATTTCATATTGTGTATTTTTAAATTTAATAAATTTTTAATGCATTACTTTTCATGTATATTTTAACAAAAAAAAAAGAAAAAAAAGTATAAAAAAAAAAACAGGTGTGCCAGCACCAAAGTGAAAATGTAATTTTTTTGTGTTTTTTTTTAATATTTTTTTTTTTTTTCAAAAATAAAATTATTTTTTTATATTATTATTATTTATTTATATTTATTTTTTTTTCTTCTTGGTTGGTTTAATATTCAATTAGGTGAAAATATGTAGAACATAAAATATGAATAATAAAATATAATTTAAAAAAATCTATATATACATATACACAATATATATACAAAGCATATGGTGTAAAATTAAGTGATATTCAATAATAATATTAATATTGTATGTATGTATATACCTATTTAAAAAATCATTTCGTGTTTTTTTTTTTTGTCAATTTTTAAACAATATGAAAAATTATATCTTATTCTACTGAGTGTAAAAATTATTTATTTTTTATATATGAGGAAAACATTTTACTTTTTTAATTCCCACCCTCTCTCTCTCTCTCTCTCTCTCTTTCTCCCTCTGTGTCTCTCTCTTGTATGAGTACTTACTATTCCTTAATTCTCATTTTAAATTTACATTGTATATATATATAATGTGTGTATAGAGATGTCCAAATTTTTTACAAAATTTTTGACCAAATTCGATTCTTACACTGTACAACACTGTAACAGAAAAAAATTCTCTTCTTTATATGCTCTCTCTATATATATTCGAATATTAGCCATACTGCCTGTATTCAATATTCTGTTCTATATTCGGCAGTTTTAATATGCTTTGAAAGTTTTATAAAATTTTAAAAAAAAATCTCAAATCAATCAGTCGTTTTTAACAAATAGTTTTTGTAAATGCAGTAACACCATGATCAAAAACATCGGATTCCTGTATACGATCTAAAGTCAAAAAAGGGAAAATAAGAAAAGAAAAGTGATATTAGCTTGTGTATTGTGTTTTGAGTAAAATAAACCATATGAATGGAAGTTGTTAAACTTATGTAAAAAATTATAATTTTAATTATACCAAAAATTAAATAAAAAATAGCATTTCCTTTCAGAGCTATATTTACAATTGGAAGCTAACAAAATAATGCACTCTACATGTAATTTTATTTGGTTCATATAATCCGTTCAGCAGTCTCTGTAGATCACAAATTTTACACTTAAGAAGTTCTTTATGTAAAGGAATATCGGAGCAAATATAAATTTGTTAATATATTTTAGACCAAATCAGCTTGAATATAATATGCAAAAATTACTACAAAAAAAAAGTTCAGACGTCTTTGCCATCTCTGATTTACAGGAAAGAAGATATAATTACTGAGAATTTAAACATTTCTTATGCATGATAAATAATCTAATAAACAAACATATGAAGATAGAAGCTGAATAGAAAAGTTTCGCAAACACAAAAACTGAAAAAGAAAAAAAAATGGAAAAATCAAATGGAAAATGGAAAAATCTTTTGTAATTTTGTTTTTAGAAAAAATAATTTTTACCAAAAATAAAAATTAAAAGCAAAAAATAAAAATAATAATAAAACAACACGATTACACAAAAAATTTATTTATATACAAAAAATGCGTGCGCACTTTAGAACAGTAGAATTGCAATTAAAGAATCTGATGTTCTCTTTAATAAAAAATCAAATAAAACTAAACTTTTGTTGGAAGTCGATTAAACCAGATTTTTATTTCGATTTTAATGCTATTCACGTGAACTTTGATTTTGATTGCTAAAATTGAAACCACGCATCACCCGTCCACAATAAGAATTAATATATCATGATCCATCGGCATCAAACCGACCCCTGCTAATATAAATGTATAACCTTCGAGGTACCCTTATAAAATAACTCAATTGTTATCTGCAATAATGTTTCAACTCAGATTGACTATATCATTAGGAGGGGTTATAGAACTAATATAATGATTTTTGTGATTTTCTACAATAATTAAGTATAGTTTCGCTGCTATTACTTTAAAGAGGAAGTCAGACTTACTATTTCAGATCATATGGAATCTCTTATAATGTTATTCAAATAAAATACTAATAGGTTGCTTTTCATGGGTGTTCAATATTAAAGTAGATCATGTCGATTTTTTTATTAGAAGATAACAATAAATAAGTTGCAAACAAGATCACGTTATCGAAGTTGTACTGCATATAACTCGAAGTAAAGGCATTTAATTGTAAATATATATAAACAGATATTGAATATAGATTTTCTATTATTTACGTTGTTCTATATATGTTGCACAAATAACAATGTTTGTGATATAAATACACAATTATATCATATACAGATAATTTTTCACCTACCTTTCATTTCTCATGTTTCTATTATTGACAGTAAACGCATGATAACTGCTTTTGTAGCTATCAACATCAAGTTAATTTAATTTTTTTTTACCATTTTAAAATTTTAATTAATATTTAAGAAGACTGTTAACCATGTATCTAGCATGTAATATCTCCTGTTGAAACGAGACCATAAACGTCTCGTACTGTAAATACGTCATCATTTTTCATCTCAGAAACAATCTTGTTACTTTCTAGCCGCACTAAATGTATAGGCTTAGAGAATTTACTTCTCTTAATTGTAAATTGCTGACAACAATATTAAATGTATTATACCGTACTTACACATCCAAATATACGTAAATATTCCGAAAATCTACCATTCAACAAGACAATTGGACAATCGAAAATATGGACTAACGTCGAAATCGGGTAAGTTTTCCAATACAAACTCTCATCAGCTAATTTAAAAAGTTCGGAACTTCAGAGAGTATTCTGAAAAGTTTTGATAATCAATAATTTAATAAAACCTTTTTTTAGCACAGATCATCGAGTGTTACACCTCTTTAATCCCGTAAACTATATAGGAATTAATAAAACGGAAAAATTAAGAGCATTTCTTAGAATTTTCAATATTAATACTTTTCTTTTATATTTCTCAGTTTTTCTTATTTAAATGCATTTTTAATGTGTAAATGTATAGCAAAAAAAAAATTAAACATGTTTGGTAAGTTGGTAGAGAATTAATTATTTCATTCTGGATATTAATTGAATCTGCTCCCATTTCTTTTTACTCAAAATGTGTATTGTGACACAATTATGAATACTTTAGCAATACTTTTTCCTCTTGGTTGGCCATTCATAAATACGGTCATACTTAATTCCAATTCAATTTCTTGTGGCCCTTCTAAACTTCTTAATAAATTCAATTGAACCTGATTACGCATTTGTGTTGTACTAAAAAAAATAATTTAGAAAATAAACAAAATTAAGATGAAAATTTTATATATAAGCACATATACATGCAAACATTAATATATGGAACATATATTTATGTATACACATATAAAACTTACGAAAAATGTTTCATTGTTGCTTTTTCAACATCAAATGGTGACTGAACATCAACTAGTTTCAGTTCAAAATCAATATTTTCATACCATGCTGGACCTCTTAAACTGAAAAATGTACGACCCTGTGGTGGTATCATCATATTTGATACTAATGTTATAAAATTATATGTATATGAAGTTGGTTTATTGTAACATTCATCTCCTTCACATAAATTATTTATAAGACGACATCGACTAATTAGGAAAAATAATTTAAATATATTAAAATTTCATATCTTACATATTATTACTAATTATGTGTATGATAAGATTTGATACCCAATTTGAAAGCAGATTAAACGCAGACCTAAATTTATGTGCAAAGGGCTTCAACGGGGATCAATTTGGTGGCATATTGCATCAAAACGCTTATAATGTCGAAAAAAGAAAAGCAATCCTTAGTCAATTTGGTTTTAATTTGGTGATTGAATTATACCCAGTTTGTTTCATTGTTGTATAGAAATTACTCGAACCTGGGAAATCATTTTATAGAAACTTCATGGATATGTTTGAACTATAATTGGACACACGACTGCCGACTTATTTTTCCGAATATAAAAATTTTGCTTTTGGAGTTGTATGGCAGCCAGCCGAGCCGGTGCAGCCATCAAATTGAAATGTTTAGAGTATGTGTAGAATGTAATTGGACACACGTATAGAAAACATGATTTCATTTTTATACTTTTATTAGTTTTTGAAATATTTAAAATAAACTCTTTGAGTTGTATGGCAGCTACCCGAACCTGTTGTCCGAATAAGTCCTTGGCACAAAAGAAACACAACTTGTGAAAGTTTGGTTTCGATTGCTTTATTTGTTTTTGAGTTATCGTGCGATCGGACGGACGGACAAATGGAAGGCATGTCTAAATCAACGCAGAATTTTACGCTGATCAAGAATATATATATATATATATATATACGTCTATACCGCAGATGACTCCTTCAAGTGGTTACAAACTCTATACCAAAGTTTGTATGAAGGGGCAGGGTATAAAAATCCGAAAATTACAAATTTCAAGATGAAATCCAAGGTTTCGTTTTTGCTTTAATGAAATAATTCACGTTCCTTATAATTAGTACTATATTCGAAAAAGACTTATTAAGGTCTAGGGTATATCAGACGCTCTTATTGTATTTAAGAGTATTTAAAAGGAAATTTTCTAACTTAGTTTTGCTACAGAAGAAACAACAGTATTTGTATACTTACTTTTTTTGATCAATATCATTGGTATAACCATCTGGACAATTTATATATGTACATTTATAACCTCCTCTTGTATTTGTACAAATTTCATTTCTGTCTTGACATATATTTAATGTTTGACATTCATCAATATCACGGCATGAATTTTTATCAGTTCCCAATTCATAACCGTCTGGGCAAGAGCATTCATATGAACCTTGTACATTATTACATATACCAGTGCATAACTGATATTTTTTATGTACTTCACATTCATCAATATCATCACATGATCTATTATTATATATATTTAATTCATAACCAGGATTACATGCACAACGATATGATCCCCAAAAATTAATACATTTTTGTTCACATAATCCTTGTATATCTTGGCATTCATCAATATCATGACATATATTATCACGATCATTTAATTTTTTAAAACCTTCTTTACAATCGCAAACATATGAACCAATTGTATTAATACAATTTGAATTCATTGGACATACTTGATGTTCACATTCATTAATATCAATACAACGATTGTCATTATTTAATGTATGACCAATTGGACATGAACAGATATATCCACCGATACGATTACGACATATTTGATCTGGTCCACAATTATGCTCCCCAGTAACACATTCATCAATGTCTTCAAAGAAAAAAAAATGTAAAAATTATTTGGAAAATTTGAGAAATATTTTTTTTTATTTGTTTCATACCAACACATGATGTTCCATCCATTGATGCTTTATAACCACCAGAACATTGAAGAAGATTTTGACATCGATATGACCCATTTGTGTTTATACATCTTTGGTGTGATGCACATGATCCATGTATTTGGCACTCATCAATATCTATATAATTTGAATGAAGAGAAATAAATATGGGTATTGAGTACAAAATTAAATATAGTTCAAAAATTTGTTTTCCCTCCAATAAATCAATAAAATAAAGCATAGGTTGCCAGCCTATTATTAATTTATTATTAATTTTACACAATAAAATGAAGTCAATTTAAAACCTATTTGGCTTGTAGAAAAGCATTTTTCTCTATAGTAATTAGGCAAAATGAAAGAAACAACGTCCTTCTTACCGACACATGCTCCTTTATAATTTTTCTGGAATCCTCTATTACATTGGTGCTCAGTGTATTGTGTTGATTGATAATTCTGTTGATATAGCTGCTGATTTTGTTGTGATTGTTTATCCTCTGGTTCGACATGATATCTGTGAGGTAACTGATTATAATAAGAATTAGCAGATTGTGTCGGAGATCTTAATGATGGTGTATAATATGAATTGTGCTGTATTTGATTATCAGAATATAATTGTTTTTGTGAAGCAGAAGGTATTGTTGACGGCATTGTTGTTGTTGTAGTTGATGTTGTAGTTGTTGTTGTTAAATTTGTATCTGCAGTTGCAAAATCGGATGGAGGAGGTTTTACCGGTACGTAATATGGTCTTATAAATCTATTTGGTGGTGATGTAGTAGTTGTTGTTGTTAATGTTGTTGGAATATTTTCATGTGATGATGACAATGTTGATGATAATATAGATGAAGTTGTTGTTGATTGTTGTGATATTGTTGTTGGACGAACTGTTGTTAAACGTCTTTGATAAAGTGTATATCGTGATGTTGTATGACGTTTTCTGTCACAACGAAATGAACCAATTGTATTACGGCATTCGTAACCAGGCGGGCAATCATGTGAATTTAATTCACATTCATTGTCATCTTTATTTTTTTACAAAGAAATTTAAAATAAGAAAAAATTAAAATAAATATAAATAACATATTAAAATATTGGATTAAAACGATTAACTTATAAAGCATAAAATAATTATAATTGTTTATGAATACGGCGAAATGTTATACATGAAATAAAATTAGAGTTTGCGTTTTATCAAAAAGTTAATGGAGGTGAATTAACTGGTGGTGATTTAAGTTTTTCGTCAATGCAATTCTTAAGGTTGTAGAAATTTTTAAAGTTTTAGACTTTACTTTCATATAAAAATTTAAAATTGAAATAAAAAATCCCATATAAATTTTGGGATGAACTCGAGCGCCTGTATGGCTTAAATTAGCACAAATTCGCCGCTGTAAGAGCAAAGCCCCCCCCCTGGTATTTCACTTTTTATACGAGCGAAAGCATTAAACTCCCCACGTGGCATGCAGAGGAAATTGAATGTTACAATGTATGTATGATGTATATATGTATAATTAAATTTCATTATGATTATATATAAGTTTGAGAAAAGTTTTTTATAAAATCTATACTATATAGGATATATATATGTACAAAATTAGTTGAATAATTACCAAAAAAATTATAAACAAATTAAAAAATTTATTATACAAAATTTACCATCACAAGTACCGGTCTCCGCATTCAATGTATACCCGGTACCACAGTTTTGTAAACGTATGCAAGTATACGAACCAATTGTATTATCGCAACGTTGCGTTGGTAAACAATTATGATTATTTATTTGACATTCATTTATATCTACAGAATAAATTAATAATTAAAAGAAAATATTAATAATTAGTATAACACAAAAAAAAAGTTATATGTTAAAATATTAAGAACTATTCGCACATTTTTCGCAACATACACACATTTTTACAAAAGAGATGTTATTGTTTTTAAATAGCTTCGCACTCTCAGCCTCTTACCCTGTAAAAGTTATAGCCGCGCAATTCTAAAATTTCATTTTTTGTTTATTTATTGTAACGGAACCACAAATATTGTTTGAATTCACACAACATTATTGAGTATGCAATAAATTGATGTATTTTGGTATATGATTTTTTGTCTTATCCCTAAATGTATGCAATATTTTTGATAATACAAATTTGACATACAAATGAAAGTAAATTTAAATAGATCGTTTTTAACCGTAGCATTTTGAATTGTTCAAAGAAAAAGTGCTACTCTACAAACCATTGGTTTGAATCAACTTTATTTTTAATTTTTAAATTTCCAAAATTTTTCAACAAGAAGTAAAAAATTTTCAGTCGGCATAAACCGATTTAATTATGCCCTGCACCTCTCTTTTGTTGTATAACAATAACTCGAACCTGTAAAACCATTCTATTAAAACATCGCGGATACGTGTAACCTATAATTAGATACATGACTACCAAGTTTCATGAGTCTAGTTTTATTATCTTTACGAATATACAAAATTGACTTATGAAGTTGTGTGGCATCTACCCGAACCACTGTAGTCATCTCATTAGAACATTTATATCATATGTAGAATGTAATTAAACTAAAAAATTAAAAAGTATACAAAATTTCATATTTATTCCTTTCTTAGTTTTTGAAATATTTCAAATAAACTCTGTGATTTGTATGACAACTACCCGAATCGGACGGACGGACGGAAATGTCAAAATCGCAGAATTTTACATTGAGCAAGAATATATATACATGTCCATACCACAGACGACTCGTTCAAGTGGTTACAAACTCCATACCGAAATTAATATACTCTTTCGAAGGTGCAGGGTATAAAAACACTATCACACAAAATTTTCTTAAATATATATTCAAAACTTACCAACACAAGCATTTAGGGTAGAATCCATTTTAAAACCAATTTTACAATCGCATCGATAACCACCATTTTCGTTTGTGCAAATCTGATTTGTATCACATGCATTCTTATCTGTTAAGCACTCATCAATGTCTTTAAAAATAAAATTACAAATATATATATATATATATAGATTCAGGTTTATATATAACTTAAAATATACAGATAAATATTAAGTTTAAGGTTAAAATATTTCAGTCCCTCTTTCTTAACAAAAAATACAGCAGCTTTAATTAAGGGGTAGGGTTGCCAAGTATCTTCATCAAAATATTGAAATGGGGGCAGAGAGAATTTTTTTTTTTAAATTTATTTACAAAGAAAAGGAAAAATGGCTTCTTAACTGAACTAGTTTTTTAAATTGTGGATGATGACATAGACAGATTAAATTAACAATTTTTTTCTTACCTAATAAATTTCTTATCTTGTTCTTTAAAGTTAGAAGTTGCAGAGAGGTAATTCTGCCCTTTTTTCTCATCCATATAATATGTAAATGTTATAACACAACAGTGTTGTATTATGACAAACTGCAGTTAATTATTGAAAAACTATGATTTCTTAAATCTTCTGTAAGCGCAAAATGTATACGATTTGGAAAGCCATATAAATTCTCAAAATTTTTTATGAATATATATTTTTGTTTAAAAATCGTAAACAGCGACAATTTACCGTCCGCCCCGACAACCATTAATTTTTTACAAGTAAAAAATTTTCATGAAAACCCGGTCACTCCCAGAGAAACCTCAACGATTGACAACCCTAACACTTCTTAGGAAACAAATTGAACATTTTTGAAAAAAAAAGTTTGAGTTTAATTGCAAAAAAAAGAAATTTTTCGAAACACCCAACAACATAGTGGGTTTTTAATATTTTTTTTTTTGTGTTGAAAAAATCCTACATTGAACACATTTTCATCACATCATATCTGTAAGTTTAATTTTTTTGTACTAAAAATATTTTTTCAAAAGCTTAAATACATACCTATACATTTATTATGTTTATAAATATAACCAAATCCACATGTTCCACTTATGGATTTCTGTCGAATATTACTGCCATCATTTAATGATGATATATGTGATGAAGTGATAGCCCTTTGACAATCATAACTTCCTGGTAAATTAATACATATATATCCTTGTTCGCAAAGATTATCTTCACATTCATCATAATCTGTATCGTTTATAAAAAAAATATACATACATATATAAATATATATACTCAAAAGTTTTCTAAAAACTTCTACTTAATCTTATCATTGACTAATTACAAATTTATATATGCTATTTGGTTATTAATGCAATTAGTATATCACATTCCCTTGCATACCTTCACATTCTTCTGTTTTAGCATTAAATCTGTAACCATCTTGACATGTTGTCGGTTTAATATCCATACATTTATAACTTCCGATTGTATTAAAACAATATTGATTTGAATTACATTTAATATTAAACCGTGAATTGCATTCATCAATATCCTCACAATCGCCAGTTATTTCACTTCTGGAATATCCTGTAGGACAAGAACTATAAATTATTTATTATATTATATATAAATTTGATATACATGCCTATATATATTATATACATGTATATATATAACAGTTATATATAATATTGCATTTAAAAACACAAAATACTATATAGTAGTATAAAAAATACTGGAATATTTTATATGCCAGTATGTTTCATGAATCTTTCAATAAACTTTAAAAAAATTTATATACTTACTTATCATTCTCAAAATTTGTATCGGGATTTTCTTCGATATTATCTAAATCATCGTCATCATCATCATCAGCATCATCATCAATATCATCTACATTATCATCACTATTATACACATTACTATTGTTATTATTATTGTTATGATTATTTCTATTATGATTATTATCGATATTATCATCATCATTATCATCATCATTAATTTTACTACATGTCACTCTATTATTATCCAATTTATAACCTTTATGACATTTACATACATATGATTCTTTTGTATTTTCGCATATATGCGAACATAATTGTTTATTAAATTTCGTACATATATCTTCAGATTCACTTAGTACAAAAGTTCCATCATCATTATCAATACTATCACCATTTATATTATGTTGATGATTAATTTGATGTTGATTTTGCTGTTGTTGCTGATGTTGGTGATGTTGTTGTTGCTGTTGTTGTTGTTTTTGAAGATTTTCATTAGTCATCTCATTACAACAAATTAAAAATGATTCTTCTTTTTGAAAATATGCAAATCTTGATGATGTACAATTATAATCACCAGCTGCAACAGCTAAACCAATTTGACATGCTTTACAGCAATTTGTATATGATGTTGTTATATCTAATTTATTAACAACATCACAATTACCACCATTTTTAGCTGCATATCTACCATCTAAACATTGTTGATTTTGAAATTCTTTTGAACAGCACATACTAAATGTTGATAAACATAAACCACGCCATACTGGCGGTATATTATTCATAACATTATCAGTATTTTGACAATCTTGTGCTCTTGTTGTACCTAATGCACAACATTCAACTAAATGATCCTGTATTTGTTCACCTAGATATATATATACATATACAAAAACATATATATGAATCATAATATGTTTTTTTCACATAATTTTAAAATTTAAAAATGTTTAAAAGTAAATTTATACTTTAATAGAGTTAATCATGTCAACGCTGTGCAAATACCCGTACGAATATGTTATTCTATGGGCGAATTAATATATCATAGTTGACTATTGGACAGACTACATAGTTCATTTTATTACGCTGGTTCTGTTTCAGTGCTATATTGAAATTATTTGTAAAATATGAACAAACATATATTGAAGTCTTGTATGACAAATCTAACAATAACTCGCTATAATTACAAATTTTTTTACGTGAAATTACTATATTATAGCTTCTATTAGCTCTCAGATAATTCAAAATAGCTATTGAAGTAGTATTGCTGCTACACCAAGCACTCAAAAAATTTCAATAGAATTTATCAGCCCCAATAATATATTTACTTCTGCGTAATTTGATATCACAGTTTCAATAATGTCTGATCTATAGCCAAATAATTTTTGAAGTTGTTGCGCAGTTACAGCAACAATCGGCTCGATCACATCCAAATTAAATGGGTTTCCGGCATTTACTACATTATAAATTATTAGTGAAAATCAAAAACTTATCACTTTAAGTTTTAAGCTTTGATCAATTAGTTGTCTTTGGGACGAACGAACAAACGAACAGACATGGTAAAATAGACTCAGAATTCGTTGCTGATCGAAAACATACACTTGAGTCTATATCTCAGACCATTATTTATCAGCATTATAAACAATGAGGCAAATTTCTAACATCTTTTAAACATACGTTCGTACGGGTATAGAAAATAATTAAAATACAAAAACAATACTTACCATTAGTAAAGGCGGCCAATAATAAAAATATCATATAAAAAAATATAATCGGTAATAATTTAAAATTTATAAATAATTTATTTGTTGTACAAATTATAATGTTTAGCAACATTTTGTATTTAATTTTTTTTGTTTGTTTTGTTATATATACTTTATTTCGATTTTTGATTTGAAAAATTTAAAAAAAAAAATCAGAAATAAATTAAAATAAATTTGTCCTTTTTTTTTGTTGTTTTTACAATATTTTTCAATCTTTTCTTTTTAAAACTAAATCACTTTCTCCAAATGGTATATAAAAATCACTAAGATATTGTGTTATATTAACATAGTGTTATAAAAGTTACATATCTATGTAGAATAATAACCGCATATATATATATATATACCGTTATATATATATATACCGTTATTATATATATGTATATATATATATATATATATATATATATATATATATATATATATATATATATACATATGGATATATATGTATATATATATATATATATATATATATATATTTATCTGTATATTTATATTCACATTTATATAATTATATACGTTTAATTTATAAATATTATGTGGACAAAATTATAATATGTTAGTAGTGATAATAGCTCTGCCATTTCTACTTAAGCGATCTATGAAATTGGCAATAACTTCGGCTATATATACAAAAATTTTAAAAAAATTAAAAATTTGTTGAGAATATAGAACTCGACATAGAGAATCGAATGACATATACATATAACTTTAAATTATTATCTTATCTCAAGTTCAAGGCGGTTCGGAGATTTGAGGCCACAAATATATTTCTGATACAATTATGAAAATATCTTAAAGTTTATTCTATTAAAGTATTTAATTAATATTTTACAAATAATGTTTGCAAATCGACATTTGCAAGCATAGACACAAATATTCTAGAGAATGTCTTTTGTATATTGTAAGTATGTATACATATACACTAAAAAACTACTTCTTCACTCTGTTGCATTTCAACTTACTAGTTAGTATAAATCACCATTTTATAATTGGTAATCGTGTTAATAATAAGAAAGTTCTAAATTTTAAATATGTAATTTAATTAAAAATAATTAAATTTTTAGTAGAATTATATTAATTAAGAAAATAACCTCTAATTTTAGCATTATGATATTAATGTATAAAATTAAATGAGATGTTTTTTCATTCCTATGTGTAAAACTTATACATTTAATTTTACAAACCGTGCAAACAACTATTTTTTTCTGATGTACTTGACAATAATAAATAAACAAAATTGGAATTCCAAAAATAAAGATGGATGTTTAATTTAATTTAGTTCAGTTGGAGAATGGAGGTGGTCGGCATCCCTCCCCAATACACTTGACCCCACTAAACCCATTATTAAGATAAATGTCAAACACAATTACGCAGAACATTAAAATAATTACTCAAGTATATATAGCAATTTTACTCGTACATTCTTGAATTTTCTTCCACTATTAATAAATTCCTAACTTTAATATTTATTTAGTTTAAATAATATATATATACGTATGTATTTTACTAGTTTGGTTTTTTTTTTCATTATCCGCAGTTAAATAATATGAAATCAAACATTGTGCACACACATTTTCAATCAACTTATAGAATCAACAAAAATTTTAATTTTCAAATATATAAAAATTTGCAATTCAATTAAATTCCGTTTATATATAAAAAAAAAGGAAAAAAAAAACTTCAAAAGCAAGACAAAAAAAAAATGTGTCAACAGGGTTAAGAATTCGCGTCGTTGATTTTCCCAAAAAAAAAAAAAAAAAAAAAACTAAATCAAATAAAAGAATTTATAATAACTGACCTTAGACAATTTATCATGAAAAAATAAATTTTTTTTTTAATCACAAGGTTACCATTACTTAATTTTTAGATACCCGCACTAATTTTTTTTCCAAATTAAATTCAAAATTATGGGTAACTTAATTTAAAATAAAAAAAAATTTCTGTCTTACTTACACGACCTTAAAATTTTAATATTTTGCACCGAGAGAAAAATTTCAACAGAATTTATAAATATTGTTATATAATTCCCACCATATATAAATTTCAAATTTGCGAAGACAGCCACTGTCATAATTTGTTGATCATATCTATCAAGCCCCCCCACCATACAAATTGCAAATTTATCAGGATTATTCTTTATATTCGGCCATAATACTCGTATTCCCACATTAATACCATGTATAAAATTTTAAAAATAGTTTAATAGTTGAAATTTGTAAAAACCTCGTCTATATTTTCATAAATTGTTATATTTAAACCGATCTTATTTATTTTCACAATTTGATTATAACGTCACTAAATTCTGTGCATTTTTTAATATTAACCGAGTTTCTAGTGTGTATTACTAAAACGCCTATACACCCAATATACAAATTTAATTGCAATTCATATATCCAATCATATACCAATTTATATCCCTACATACATATAATAAATATTTATTTTAAAGATTAATAATTTTGAAAATTCCTGCTTCTGTCAGCAATTCCAATCCCAGTTCCAATTCGTATCTATTGAGCAATATATTTTAAAAGTATTTAATTAAAAATTATGTGTTAATGGAAAACAAAAAAAAAAAAATTGCAAATATTTTTTTTTGTCTAACTTTTATATTTAATATTTGTTTTCATTTTTTTAATACGGTAACCTTCAAATATTTAAATAATAAATATATATATATACAAAATGTTTACTTAAAAAATTAGAATGAAAATTTCGCATTTATTCTAATATATTAGAAGAGATTCTCCATTCGTATATGTTGTTAACGAATCTCTTCAATACTTAATTTCTTCTAGCATTTTTTAATTTTTCCATTATAATACATACAAATATACGTACATTTATATATACTTGATATATACATATTGCATTATAATATATATAAAATATTAAAAATGACTAACATACATTTATATAGCTGTATATTTATTTGAAAATTCAAACTAATTAATAATTGTATGTATGGCATAGTTTATATTTTGAAAGTGACCCAAGTCCATATTTCAATTTAAAAATGAAATATCATGCTACACTGTTTGGGTTAAATAGTTTAACCAAAAAACTATTCGGTTAAACTATTAAAACTATTGCTATTTTCTTTCTATAGAATATTTTAATATTTTAATATTCCTATCCTAACAACAAAAGTTTCAATTTCAACTTTTGGACATTATTGTTAATTTGTAATTGCTAAATGGACTTAGGGGTCACTTTCAAAATAAACCATCCAATTTATATTAAGTAATTTTTTTTTTTTTTTAATTTACTATTCTGTTTTTTTTTTTACTTTTCAATCACTCCAAATTCTTTATTGACAATTTATTAATTAAAAATATTTCTCGAACCTTATTTACATACATACTTCGAAATAAATGTTACTCATATATAGTTTTTAATCAAAAATCTCATCATCATATTTTATAATTCATATATGACAGTGATCTTATATTCTAATATTATATGCGCTTAGTTGAGTTTGTAATTCACTTTTTTAGCACTTTTCAAGAACAATTTTAACAAAAAGTTCTCACTACAGTGTTTCACCCAGTCTGTTTTCTCTCTGCGTCTGATTTAAAAGACTTCTACACACGCCTTTAAGTTAGAAAGTCGAAATTATTATATAATAATATATAGTTAATAAATTTTTACTATAGAAATTTATTTCCGTAGAGGAAAATTTTTCCATATTTTCATCCCCTCACCCTTTAAAAGTTATAACCCCCCTGAAAGTACTAAAAATGCTATTTTTTTTAATTATTTATTGCAACGAAACTGCGCAAACAGTTTTTAAATTCTGTTAAAAATTCAAAAAAGTAGTGTCGGATTTCTTCTGGCAGTGCAGCAAATAGCATAGTTGAACTTTAGAAAATCAAAAATTAACAATTTTCGGAAACCCGTTTCAAAATTTTTACATCCTTTATCCTACTAGACGATAACGAGTCTGATATTTTTGCAGTTTTTATATAATAATAAGTAACTTAGTTTATTAGAAAATTATTTTCCACCTCCATCACACCCTCTCAAAATTTATCATCTCCCGAAATTTGTAAAAATTAAAATTTTCGGCACTTCATGTTTCCGAAACTACAAGTTTTTTCAAATTTCTATGGATACAGAATGCAATGCCATCAAAAAATATAATTATTTATCTTAACTTACGTAATTCAAAACCCGATGAATTCGACAATTAAGTTAACGCCTCATTAAATTCTTTCAGTTTCTGTTCCATCCCAAAATGTATGCAATACATTTATGTATTTTCATATATGGTCTTTTGTCTCGTCCCTAAATGTATGCAATATTTTTGATATAAATGTATGCAATATTTTGGTATATTTAAATAATATATTAATTGTAATAAATAACTTTTAGCAGTAGTATTTACAATATTGGTTCGACCCGATTTACTTTAATTAGTATCTCTTATATATGCATGAATCTTGAAATTTTAACTTCAGCTCCCATATATACTATATGATTAAGACCTCTATTTAGGTAATTTACTTTATGTTAAATAGTATAACTCTGTTATTATAATATTAAATCAGCTTTAGGAATTTATAGTATATATAAAATAAAATTAAAATAAATTTTTTATAATGAAATGCGATAATAATTTGCAATTAAATTAATTAAAAACAAAAATGCAAACATAATATAAAAAATATTAAAAGATTCTTTTTTAATCATTTTCAGAAATTCGTATATATTAATTATGTACATTCGTATATACATATACAAAATGTGCATATAAAAAATACATTAATACCTCGTTGTGCGACATTTCATATTGCGTCGCAAAAAATTTGCATAGTTTTAATTTGCGACATAAAAAATTTCGGTGAAATTGACATTGCGAATTCTTTTTTTGTTTGCTATCACAAAACATACACTGTATGTGTTGTATGTCGTGTGTTATAAAATTGTAAACACGTTGAAGACAATCATAAAAAGAGAAATTCCATTATTTTGATTTTCGTTAACAATTATACGTAAAAAATTTACATTTTGTTATCAATTAGTTGACGTATGGAACGTGTCTTATATATTTCAGAGCAATTCCATACAAAAAATTTTCTCCAATTGCGACGTTTTGATTGCGAAGAATTTTTGTTGGGAATCAATTATCGTCGGAAATCGAGGCATTGGTGTGATTTTGTAATATTAAAAATAAATGT